AACAAAAAAAAAAAAAAAAAAAAAAAAAAAAAAAAAAGGGGTATTTTTTGAAAAAATTTTTTGGAGATTTTGGGAAAAAAAAAAAATAAAAAAGGAAAAAAAAAAAAAAAAAAAAAAAAAAAAAAAAAAAAAAAAAAAAAAAAAAAAAAAACACTCTCATACTGACCAGGTTTACTGGAATCTCCTTCCTCATCTTTTCTGCTTGGTGATTTTGAGAACCAACCAAAGAAATATGATTTAGAGACATTTGGCTCTCTTGTTTTACCCCCATCTTTCAAACGTTGCATTTCAGCTTCAAAATCCTTACAAAATAGTAAAGCAAAATTGATTAAACCACAGTAGCAGGTTATCATGACAATGATCTTGCACATGATTTGAGACAAAGTTGTGTTATACATATATAGTGGTATATTTCACAATTTGAAGTCCATTATTTGATTAAAGAACAAAGGAATTCTTTATGAAAAAAAAAAAAACTCGTTACATCAAAAAATCATAAATGATTGTAAGATAAACTCACATGCACTGTCTGGACATCTCTCTCAAAAACAACCAAACGAACATCTTTAATCTTTGTATTGGGGTTTCGTATGCCAAATTCTTTCACTTCATCAAACAAAGCCCCTGCAACCAGCTCTGCAGGGAAACCCAGGCCTCCAGTGCCAACAGAAGGGAAAGCAATAGAACTATGGTCACCACTTTTATGTGCATTTTCTAAGCAGCCCCTTACAATGGTTCTCAAAACCTAAAAGGGAATTAGAGGTAAGTTCTCATTTTAATTTCCATTGTACCAAGTAGAACTATTCAACAATAACTATATGTAATAACTATTTTTCATTCATATTTCTTTATGATCAATAGTCTATGCAGTCAATTTATTGTCAATTTTACAGTTGAAGTGCTTTTGTACATACACAAAATGCTGTACAAGATCAAAACATTAAGTGTGGCAGTATTACCTTTATTTTAAAAATCATTATAAATATTTTTGAAACACTTTTTTTTATCAAATCTTACTTTTTCTGAATCACCCTTGCCCTCATCCCATTTAACACAAGCACAATGATAGACTTCAAGACAGGGCAGTTTGTAGCCTTGAGTGCAAATTATTTCTCCATGCTTGATTTGTCTTTTCCTTGAAAGCTCAGATTGCAATTCTTCTCCTGCCTTTTCGAGCAGAGCCCTGGACAAAGCTCCTTTGCTCAAGTCAAGATTTGTCTGTGTAGTGTTTACAATAACATCCACCTGGAAGAATCAAATTTTAACATGTATTAGGTATATAAAAATGAAGTGCTCAGTTTGTCACTTTTCAGAGATATGAGTAAATTACAACTTATCACACATTTAATAAGAATCTAATAAGTCAGTTATTACTTGTTCTTCTGCAAGCTGGCCTTTCTTCAGTGTCACTTTAATCCGTTCCTTGGTCATTATCATGTCTTCCTTTCCACCTAGAGGAATGAAGTCACCGTCACTCTGTTGCATATCCTTCTCTATTTCCTCATCAGTGTCGGCATCAGTATCCCCACCTAAAATTAGAACACACATTTTGTAATAGAAAACAAGTTTTTTCTACTTCAGTACCAAATTATAGTCAAAGAAAAGTAATTACACTAGTACTATGATTTCATTTTAGTAGTTAGTCTAAGTGATTTCTACAGTGTCTGTTCATGAACAAAATGTTAAACCTGACAAACAATAATATTATTCACCAATTAAGACAAGTTTTTTACAAACATTATCATTATTTCTTAAATCTAACTGGTTAAACAAACAAACAAACATAAAAAATTACTACTTTTTTACTTTTATATCAAAATTATACCCAATACTAGTAAGAAAACATCATTTAAAGCAAAATTAATTTTATGTTATATTTAAAATCAAATGCTACAGGTTTGAGTTTTTAAAGAAACAAACAATACACTTGCCTCCTGAATTAATCACTTCAAAGTCATTCACGGAGTATCCATCTTCTTCATCTTCAGAAATATTGCCTCCAGCTGCAGCACTATCTTTCAGGTTTTTGGCAACAGCAGATGCAAACAGATCGATGATGTCTTCTCCTCTATCTACAAAATGGATTTCTTTCAGACCATCCGGTTTTGACCTTGAGCACAAGTCACTCGCAGCTTTCACCATGGTCTCAGTGGCCTTTTCTTTAGGATAACCAAATATACCAGCACTGATTGCAGGGATAGCCACAGACTCAACCCTTTCCTCACTGCACTTCTTCAATATATTTTCCACTGCCCTTTGAAGAGCTTCCCTTTCCCCAGATCTTCCCCCCCTCCACCTTGGTCCTACTGCATGAAAGATGTGCTTGCAGGGAAGCTTTCCAGGTCCTGTTACCTCAACCTCTCCAGCATCCAGACTGGTCCTCCGTTTATTCATGATATCATCACACTCTCTTTGAATTGCAGCACCACCTAAAAAGTGAAATATAGAATTTACCTAAATATTAACTTACCGTAGTGTATGAAAAGATGAGCTTGTGGCTTTTCAGAAAAAGAGACAGTGAAAATTACTACACACACACACACACACACACACACACACACACACACACACACACACACACACCTTGCCAAAATTGTTAAAGTAAAACTGTGCCACCACTGGCTGATGGATTTTATAGGTTTTATTTTTTTACCTGCTTTTTTAATGGCACCATCCAAACCACCACCAGAAGCAAGTCTTTCATTTGCAGTATTAACAACTGCATCAGTGTGGTACTTGGTGAGATCTCCCTGGCACACTTTGAACACAATACCAGACGGATGGTTGAACTCTTGAGGGACACATTTTCCAGCATGTCCTGGGCCTCTTCTACCCGATTTCTCAACAATGCAGTTGTTACTGCCTGCAGTATTCTTCAACAGGATCTGTCCTCTTTCATCACTATAAAACTGTGCCACCACTGGCTGATCGATTTTATACGTTTCTTTTTTAATTGTCTCTATAATAGCCACTGCAGTCTTTGTAGCTTTCTCCACACCATCTGGATTCCCCTTAATGCTGAAACCACATTTACCAGTTTCTGATACTTTGAGGCTGATATCAACTGCAGAAAACCTTAGGTCACGCTCAACTTTGTTGACCTCCTCCATCTTGAATTTCTGGATGTAAATTGCTTTTGGGTAAGCGACTTCTTCAAAATGTTCTACAACACTGTGGCAACGTAAAAATGACTGGACATGATTTTCAATTTTATTGATTGTATCTGCCAAAGCAACAATAGTCAGATGCTTTTTTTGAGGAGATACCTGTATGTCAATCAAGTCCTCATAGTCTCTACTCAACTGGTCCTTCATATCTTGCCATTTTCTTTCTCTGATAACAGCACTACCACCTTCTTGTACTGAAATTTTTTTCTCTTTAATCTTCTGTTGTATCAATTCAATAGCTTTCTGTATTTCACACTGACCTGACTCTTGACTGGACAAAGCATAAATGTTTGCCTCATTAGAGCCACACATAACGTGCACATTGAGGCTTCTTTTCCCGAACTCTTCCTGCAAAAATTGGCAGCAACTCTCTTTTCTCAAAAAATCCAGGACAGCATTGGTAACTGCAATCCGCTCTGTTTTGATCTCTTGCATGTATTGAAACAGTTGTATTTTTGCTTCATCCACTTTGACAGGATGTCCCTTTAAATTGACAACTTTGTTGGAAAAGTCTGGCTCTATTTGTAACAATGGGCAACTTTCTCCTAGTTGCTGCAAAAATGGGCCATTCTCCAGAAAATATACTGCATAGTCTTTCATCTTGACCTGGCTGCTCACAGAATGGGCATCTTCTTGAACAGAATGAATTGTCTCTGACATCCTTTGTAAGACTCCTGATACATCACCCTTTTCTCCCACTACCTGTATGCACATATTCTTTTCGTCTTTGTGAAACAATAACCTTCCTGGGTAAGACTGAACCATTTCATCTACACGTTCCCAAATTACACTTCCAATGTTACTTGGGACTTTAATCTCCTGCTGATCATAATTTTGGAGAAACTGTTTCATTGCCTCTGATATCTTTGCACTCCAAACTTCCATTTCAGAAAATGCATTGGCCATATTAGGACTGATGGTGCATTCCACTATCAAGGATGTGGTACCTGCTTCTTGCTTTACAACATCACTGACATCACCAAAGTATTTCTGTAGCATATCTTTCAGCTTTCTATGATGTTGAGGAGCTGCCTGCAGAAATTCAATGAGCAGTGGATCAACATAGAAGTCTTCTGGTGGAGGAATGGCCAAATATGGGACATCTGTATTTTGTGGATTAGTGACACCCAAGCAAGGATAAAAAGGGATGACTACAACCCTCTTTTCTTCAATGGTGTAAGGAGAGGCTTCACATATTTTGTCCACCACTGAAAAAAAAATGTACAAGTATATGTGATTAAAAAAAAGTAAAAAAAATACCAATCAAAGAAATTGGTGAAAAAACACTTTTGTTTTCACATATCTTTTAAACTATTTTATTGAAAAAATTACAATTTTCAAACATAGCACATATATATACTTACTATCATCCACTATTAAAAATGAATCTAATTGTCAAATACATGATGTTACACGTACCTACATTTTTATTTCATAAAAAAAAAAACAATCTTCATCCAATAACAATAATCACCTTTGTAATCATCAAAAGTAATCATAGCCACTCTGGTTCTGTTTTTGGAAACCATATTCACTCTACAACTACACCCAAGTTTCTCAAAGTGCAGTTGAATGATGGATTCAGTAGTAGTTCCTTTTAAACCATGTGCTTGAACAGCAGTTGGATATGAGACAGGCTCTATGTTGAATTCACCCAAACTACCATCTCTGCCTTTTCCTCTTCTCTCCATGCATTTCTCTTTAAATGATGCAAAATCTAAAAAGGAATATATACAGTGGACAATTAATACAATTTTTCATAAGATAAACAATTTATACAATCCTTCATAATGTGCTGTTACAGTGTATATGTGCTTTGTAGTTAGGATTCATTCAAGAGCTAATACCATGATGAGCATTTAATATAATTATTTCTTCTTTTAACCTATATATCTATTTTTAGAAGCTAGGTATTTTGATGACTTATAAATATTCTGTAAGTACCATTACAATATATGGTGTAGTAATGGATTTACTATTTCTTTTTACAACAATAAATCATTCAGAATAATTCACAAATTGATATGTATGCCAACAACAAAGTACTTGTCAGTTTAAGCCCAAAATCAAATTTATCAACCTTTTCATCAATGGGAATTCCATCAGTCAGCAGACATAACTCTAGGCTTACCAATATCTGTTGAAAATTTCACCAAAAGGACCCTTGGGCTTTCACCATACATAAGAGTGATGTCTTTTCCATCTATCCCAGAGATATTTTCCAAGTACAACATCAAGGTGGATTTTAGGTTTGGTTTGTATTGAACCAGATTTGAAAAGAGCAGAAGCTTTGGATTCAAGGGTAAAGGACAAGATGACACAGCCTTCAACTTCTCACCCTCAAGTACGAGAGTCATTTCTTTAGATTTTTCCAGAACACTGGTAGCATCTGAAAAAAAGTAAAATGTGCATTTTAGTTTTCACGTCAGTTCTCATATTTTAACTAGAGGATCAGAGAGGCGATACCGCCTCCGAATATTGTACCACCAGCTGGAGCAAGCGCATTCGTATAGACCCCCACATACACAAAATAAGGGACACAGCCACCAGTCTTTTGCTTGACAAGCTGTAAAAATGCAATCAACAAGAATTTTCAAAATATGCAAAAAAAATATATATATAACTTAAAATGGTACAATCAAAGTTAAGTTCATCAAAAGGTAGGTCAAAGGTCAATTTCACAGTAAGATTGCCAGTATATGACTTCCTATTCAAGTTCAATAGTAACTATGGACCTATCTCTGCCAGTTTTGGAGATAAAAGGAAAGCAAAATTTGCAAAGTTCAGTTCATGGTGAAAAGTAGGTCAAAGGTCAATTTTGAGGTCACATTTAGATTGCCAGTATATGACTTCCTATTCAAGTTCAATAGTAACTATGGACCTATCTCAGCCAGTTTTGGAGATAAAAGGAAAGCAAAATTTGCAAAATTCAGTTCATGGTGTAAAGTAGGTCAAAGGTCAATTTTAAGGTCACATTTAGATTGCCAGTATATGACTTCCTATTCAACTTCAATAGTAACTATGGACCTATCTCTGCCAGTTTTGGATATATAAGGGACTAAATGTTATAATTTTGGAGTTACAATAATGTGCCATAGATGGCGGCGGAGCCGGCAGAACATGTGGGTCGGGACTAAAACCATGTGTACCGTCTGCCTCGCCAATCCTTTTTTTTTATTTTTTCAGGGTTCAAAATTTATTATCCATTACCGTACTGCACATTTTGCTTTCACCACCAATATGTACTTTTTGATACAGCGTAACTTGAAAGCCGTATGGAATATAAAAAAAACGGAGACCACCTCCAGTGTTGGGCTTTACATGCTCTACAAAATGCAAAAAAGAATGGGTCTCTAGCATTAACGGTTCCTGAATTAGAGACAATTTTCAGTTTCGGTATCTTATGGCCGCTACTCCCGTGAAAATGCACCGATTGACCCCAGATGAAAGATGACCCCAAGGGTAACACTTTCCAATAATATTATTGGTTAAGTCTGTCTGGTGTCTGAATAACAGCGCAAATAATTTTTTTTTCGTAAAAAAATTCATTTTTTTGAAAATTTTAGCCTGTTTGACCTTGAAAGAAAGGTCAAAGGTCAAATCCAAGGGCATATTTGAAATCTACACATATGACTTTTGGAAAGCCGTCTGTAGAAAATTTTCCCATAATTCCTTCTGTAGGGTAGATAATTAGCAATAAATTTTGCCATTTTTGGACAAGGGTGTATTTCAATGAGTGCCACACCTAGACCCCAATACCGACAAAGCCCAAATTTTACGTGGAACGAGTTGAGATTATAGGTGACCTAAAGCCAAGAGATGGGTATGGCAGCCCTTACCGTCTAGGAGGAGAAGCGGTAACGGTGAGATGGCGGCGGAGCCAGAGGAGCCGGCGGAGCCGGCGGAACATGCGGGTCGGGACTAAAACCATGTGTACCGCCAGCGCCTAAGCTGGTGGTACAATAAGAATTTCTCTATACCTATATACTACGCAAATATTATCACAAATCTTCAGCATTTTCTCACTTTCCACTAGAACTATCAACTAAACAGCAAAGGCTGTATTCCCAGAGCTTTTAGATTGATCTATACCTGCGGGGAGTCTCACTAGATTACTGCCAGATAATCTGGCTTAAATGGCTGTCCTGCCTACTACAAGCTGTAAGGGGGTAATTAACTTTCGTGTCCGCTCGGCTGACAGCTATATAACGTGAACCCCCAGGGAGTTAGGTTGATCTTAAGTAGATCGATCTAATCTGTGGAAATGGGGTCAAAGCACAGATACCAAACAACAAAAATACCTTAAAACAATATTGGAAAACAAGGCAGCAAAGCTGTCAAATTTACACACAAAAAGCAGAAAATAACAATGCACAAAATGGGCTACTGTCAATTCTGATACAAAAGTACATTATGCTTAACTGCAAATTCAACATCAAATTGTAATTATCCTCAACAGGTAATACCAATGTAAGTAAAATGTGTAACAAGCAAAAGGCTTCAGGCCCATGGGAGTTTAAGTTCACACTTTGAAAATGCCAGAATGGCCCCATCATGCTGATTTTCGAACTTGAGCTGCATTTGTAAATATTCATCAGCTCTGTAAATATAAAGCCAAAAAGTAAAACTGTCTTCCACTTATGGTGTTAACGCTGAAAGTGCATGGCGACAGCGATGCTGGCGACTGCAGACGCAGGTGATGGCAATATGTAAAGACACATTTGTGTCTGTACATAAAAAAAAGTAAATATAGGAGTAAAAATGCCATTTGGCACTTTATTTTTGTCAGTATTTTGGCTGTCAAACATGAGAGGAAAGAGTTATTGCACTAAACAATAGTCAATGGCCAATGTTCCAATTCAACAAATACTTCATATATTTCAAAGTGGTTTCTATTGTTTTAAATCAGTACAAAGGTTGATACAATATTGAATAATTAGATACAGGAAAAAAACTCATTTTCGGCATTTGGATGATAATAAACCCTTACAGTTACAGTACCCTTTATCAGAACAAAAAAGGCCAGACAATGTTATCTATTGTAGACCACACTAATATGCAGCAGAGTGCAGTATATATACAAGAAATTTACTTTTTTAAAACTTTTTTTATAATTGGAAGATAATTTACCCTCAGCTTCCTCAAAAGTGATTTCTGCCTGGCCACTGCCTTCTTTGTATACTAATTTCTTCACAGGACCACCTCCACTTCGACGCCGACTCTCAAAATACATCTTCAATGTCTCCTCTTTTGTGGTAGTTTTGATTCCAGAGACCAGGACAGTGACTCGACCATTCCATGTTTGATTGGTGGCAACTGTATCCTCAGTGGTAGGCCAAGAAATCTGTAAAGTGGCTCCATCTAATGGTGACTTCCCTGTTCCTGCCTTCACAAAGTTGGCAGCACCTGAATTTAGAATTTAGAATTAAAAAATATAAGTAAATTCAAAGCTCATAAAGTATAAATCTAAGAAATACAGCTTTAATATTCTGACTGGTATAAAACTTACCCTCCGAACTTTCAAATGTGACCAAAGCATGTCCACTTCCTCCAGAATACTGCAAATCCTTGTACCCTTGGGCACCACTACGCTTTTCATTTTCAAAGTATAACCTTAAAGCATCCTCAGTTGTGTGATGCTGGATCCCAGTTACAATGACTGTGCATGCATTACTAAGTTCTGGCAGCCAGCTGATGGTTAGAGTTGAATCCTTCATGGTAACAGTTCCTCTTTTAACTAACCTATCAGCCACTAAAAATATGTAAACATTCAGAATAACTTGGATGTACTGTTTAAATCCAGCCAACAGAGATTCAAGTCACAGATAGAGACTTCATATTCATCTGAAGGTCAAGTCACTCTGATGCTTGTGGGTTCAGAAACTCCAGACATGTTTTAATGGATTAGAGAAGCTTCAAGACCCCCAGCCAAAGGTGTACAGTTTTGTACCAAATAATACCAAATTGAATGCACAGTTCTAATTAGAACAGATGGGTTTCAAAGCAATTATATTCATTATACTTTATTTTATGACTTGGCTTCACAAAATAACTCTCTGGTCAAACTCACCACTGGCATCCTTGAAATGGATGATAGCTTTGCCAGTGCCAGGTGTGTAATCTAGGTCTTCTATTGGACCACCATCACTCCTCTTTTCGCTTTCAAAATACATCTCCAAGTGGTCCTTACTGATGTCTGTCCCAATGCCTTGAACTAACACCCCTAACTGCTGACTTGTGGCTGCTTCACTGGACTGTTCTACAGATGTCATGGTAGGTTCTAAGTAAAACAAAATCAAAAAGATGAGAATAAACAAAAAACTTGCTCGGCCCATTCATCATTTAAGCCAATTATCTGAGTCATAAAAATGCACCTCAGCATAATATGTACCATACCTAGCACAATCGATGCTTTAAGAAACCTCATACAAGTGGTGGTTGTATAAAGGGGAGTTTTGAATAGACTATGAAACATGTTACAGCATCTTTTTTCACCAAAAACCATAACAATCTCTCTCCATCATTGAAGATCTTACAGAGAACAAGATTACATTCAGTCAGATGGCAACCGGCTGAAAAACGTAACGTCATGGCGGTTATTTGAAACTTTTCAGTGAGTCCGCGTCACGAAGTAGCGCCGTTTCTGGACAAATGCGATGGCTGACGTGAAAAATTGTACCTTGCAAATAAAACCAGTTTAAAAACAAACAAGGTTGTTTTGAGTTGTGATTTTGTAAAGATAATAAGAAAAGTTCATGCTCTTACCCTCGATTTCAAAGGATTACTGAAATATGATAAAATTTAAATGAAGTATGTTCACGATTTTGAATTTTGAAAATAAAATCGTTCTCAAAATGAGTATCGTAGGGGGTGGGACTATGTTGCGAGAAAAAAGTTTCCAGGCCTAAATTTATCTCATTTTTAGATATAAGTTAAAACACCACCTAAGGTTTAAAATTTCAAAGTTTCAAGAACGTGTTATTTCTTGTATTGTCACCAGAAGAAAAAATCCAAGATGCACCTCAAATAATGACGAAAAAATGGCGGTCTCAGACCGTCGCAAAAAGTATATTTATTTGGAGGTTACATCTTTATTAAAAATATCAACACATATATCATTTCAAAGAAAAACGATCAAGTATTATTTCTGTCACTGTACCTTTCGTGTATGCGTTCCTGAAAAGTTTTACGATGACCTTGAACTACTAAAGCATTGTGGGAGTTCCTATTGAACGGTCATGGTTAGATATATTCCCGCCGATAACTGAATTTTCTATCATTATTTAGTGTTTTGTATGGTATTTTATCGTTTATAAAAGAAAAATGATCATAAGAAAATGTCCTGATTTTATTTATGTATTCTAATATCATTAATGCAGGAGATTATATGTTGACCTATTTATAAAACAACGCGCATATTTGTAATAAAAAGTATCCAAAAAGTATCAAAGATTCGAATGCCACATTCCAAATAGCAGGGTAGCTTAGTCCATTATTGCAAAATAAAAGGGAGTGTGGGTTTAAAAAAGGACCAAGATTTTAGAATAAATCGCTTAAGATTTGCTTTGCCATACTATACAAGTACACTGTATATATTACGTACGTAGCCTATATATGTATATATGCGTTTTTGAATAATATCTTAAGTTGGAAAATTTTGGATTTCTATGGCAAGTTTAGTGCTTCTTTCCCATTAAATGTCATTTTTTTTTGTCTTATTTCCTACTAATTAAACTCCTCCACACCACACATTGAAGCTGTTCTCGGTCATTATGAAGTCGGTTATTTTACTATGAATAAACAACAAACTATATAAGCAGAGCCGCAGTCCGTAATGGTAAACAGAATTTAGATGTTATGTTCAGTCTACTCGTAACTCAGGATTGTGCAGATAAGCTTTAAGGCAGCAAATTTCGTGGAGGATTCGCAACCGACTTGACTTGTGCAGGTGCGATATAAGGCTTAAATATCTTCTTTTGAAATAAGACATCTAGAAAGGTAAAATGATTTTAACACCTAAGATATTATTTATTTTACTTAAAGGGACATTTTATTGTGCAAATAAGTGATAAGTATATTGATTCTGGAAATTTAGTGAAATCTTTAGACCTTCACTTGCTTCTGTATTGGAGAATATGACGTCAGGATATGGCTGACATCTAGCGCAATAGAGTCAAAAATGGACTTCAACAGCTCGCATAAAAAGTTTCCACAAATAAATTTTGATGAAACTTGGCACGTATTTTTCTTATTGAAAAAGCCACATTTTACGGACTTCTCTAAGACGTGTTATTTCTAATAAAGGAGATATCTCAATTTGTTACAGTATTGCTACGGCCAAAAATTTACCCGTTGGCCGATTTCCTCGAGTTCTAGCTCATTCATTTCTGCTCACTAATAGGTAAATCGCGGGCGTTGAGACGCGTAGTGAACTCTGCTATCAGGTCGTAATTCTTCACAAGCACGTATGAGGGCAATTAAGCACAATTCATGAATTCCCATGAAGGTAACGCAATTTACAAATTTTCAACCACGACGTCATCTCAGCGCACGCGCTCAGTTCTGAATATTTTCCTACGCGCGGCCAGTTGCCATCTGACTGATTTATTCCTGTTACAAACATCATTAATTGAGCTAAATATGCACAAATACAAAGATGGTGTTATCTTTACCTTCAACAGCAGAGTTTTCAGAAGCAAAAAGGCCCTGGGTTGGTGTTCTCAATGTATGTTCTTGTTTTGGTGACACAATGGGGGCATTTGGGGTCCTTACATCCTGTAGTTGCTCGGGCATAGCTCGGGGGTCAAAATGCCGTGGTTTTTGAGTGAATGAATGGTTTTCAGAGGAACGAGAATTCTGCTGTTGCTGGGTATAAATGGAACCCGGATATACGGGGTGTTGTGGCTGCCTGGGAGAATGTCCGACGCCATAAAATCCAAAATGTTGTGCTTCTTGAGAGGAATGCTGGCTATCATGGACATCTTTGTTTAGTTGTTGCTCAGGCATAGCTTTGGAGTCAAAATGTGGTGGTTTCTGAGTGAATGATTTGTTTTCAGGAGAACCAGAATTCTGCTGTTGCTGGGTATAATGCCTGCTGTAAATGAAACCAGGATCTGTGGGGTGTTGTGGCTGCCTAGGAGAATGTCCAGCACCATGAAATCCAAAATGTTGTGCTTCTTGAGAGGGATGCTGGCTATTACGGAAACCTATGTTTTGTTGTTGTTGGACCATGTGTGGGTTATTCTGTTTGCCTGGGTGATTTCCTGTTGGTTGCACCATATAGGGACTAAACCCTTGGCCACTGTGTTGCATATGACTGTACATATGGGCAGCATTCTGATGATCTTGGAGCATATGTTGGCCATACTGTGGGCCAGGTGGTATGCTTTGTTGTGACTGCACATCATTATGTTGAGGGATCTGATACCAAACTCCACTGATGTAGGGATAACCAGGTGGCACTCCAGGCATAGGTTGATGGTATGGGTAAAACTGCTGAGGAGGATATCCTCCATAAACTTCATTATGATTTGATGTTTTTCCTGTGCTTTCTGGGTGCACTGCTCCATAGCCATATGGCACATATGCACTAGATGTGGGTGGGGGATAGCTTGCTCCCTGGTTTACAACATTGCCTGGACTGTCGCTGGTTGCTTTAAGAGTCGCAGAAGTACTTCCTGTAGGCAGTGGTGGCTGCTCTGTTGATGTATGACCATAACTCCTGTTGGTTTGCATGTCGATGGCTTCTGCAGTGATTGATCTTTCAGATATGTTCTTATGCTCAGGTGACTGCTGAGCTGCATGTGATTTAGCACTATCAGTATTACGGTACTGAGGTTGACCTGGGACCTGAATTGGAGGCTGCTGATGTTGAAACATTTCACCTTCCTGTGAGGGTGGTTGCATCTCAGGCTTATCAAGGGTTTCCTTGGGTGAAGATGGTTTATTGTCAGCTACTGTGCTAGCATTCTCTGCTTGTGTGTCTGCTGTTTCTGGGTCTGGTAACTGCTGACTGGGACTGGCAGTTGCTCCCTCCCTGGCATCAGGAGCTCCTGGCATGATCTGAATATTTTAGAAACTAAATGTTAATGTTCAACTATAACTACAACATAAAAGAATAAACATTAAAATTGACTTTCAAGATTAAAAAGCCTTACTAAATGTGGATGAATGTGGAAAAAAGGCTTATTATTGTCATGAACAATATAACATCACAAGGAAAATTTGAGGCAAAATTTAATCTTGTGTGAAAATCAAAGGTTTTTCTAAGGGAACTGATGAAGTTATTGTCTGCATTGATAATAATTTTCGTTTCAAATTATATATATATACATATGAAAACAATGACAATCTTCACCTGATGGTATGGGTAAAACGGCTGAGCAGGATATGGGGGCACTGCTCCATAGCCATATGGGATGTATGCACTGGATGTGGGTGGGGGATAGCTTGCTCCCTGGTATGCAACATTGACTGGACTGTCGTTGGTTGTTTTAAGAGTCTCAGAAGTACTTCCTGTAGGCAGTGGTGGCTGCTCTGTTGGTACATGACCACTAATCCTGTTGGTTTGCATGCCGGTGGCTTCTGCAGTGACAGATCTTTCAGAAGTGTTCTTATGCTCAGGTGACTGCTGAGCTGCATATGAATTAGCACTATCAATATCATGGTACCGAGGTTGACCTGGGACCTGAATTGGAGGCTGATGGAGTTGAAACATTTCATCTGGCTGTGAGGGTGGTTGCATCTCAGGCTTGTCAAGGGTTTCCTTGAGTGAAGATGTTTTGTTGTCAGCTACTGTGCTAGCATTCTCTGCTTGTGTGTCTGCTGTTTCTGGGTCTGGTAACTGCTGACTGGGACTGGCAGTTGCTCCCTCCCTGGCATCAGGAGCTCCTGGCATGATCTGAACATTTTAGAAACTAAATTTAAATGTTCAACAACAATTACAATGCCGGTAGAATGTTCATTAAACTGGACTTTCAAGATTAATAAGCCTTACTAAAATGTGGATGAATGAGAAAGAAAAAGGCTGATTACTGCCATGAACAATATAACATCACAAGCAAATTTGAGATTGTGTGAAAATATTTAGTTTTTTCAATGGGAATTAATAATGTTATTGTTACTTCACTAATAAGTATTTTTATTACAAATTGTCTATTTTATTTGTCTGTTCATTTGATGGTGCCATTGGTAAGATCAGGTACGTTTACCTGCTCTTTATTAGACTTTAAACCCTCACCAGCTGGTGAGTACTTGGATCCTGCATATGGCTCCACAGTTAGTTGACATGGGATGCCACTCACACCAACAAAATGATGGTCCTGCTTTGCTAACACTCTCCTTGCAGCTAGAAGCAAATTGTATAAATACATTCTTTATTTTCTGAACTAAATGTAGAACCTACAAATCCCAATTTTCTGCTGTCTTCAACCTCTATTAGCTGACATTTTGTGAATGGTACAAAAGTCTGACCTGTTGTTTTATATGTGCTAACTATATGTACCCCGTGTTACACGTCATCACCACTGACGATGTGCAGCATCATGTGCAGCCGATGATGTTGCTCATGCGTGGAGGCCGTGACGCTCTCGGCGTTGTTTGATGTTGGAGTTTTTGTTTTGTTTGATGTTCTGTGAGCGGGGATTATTTGTTGTCTACTATTATTCTGTTTTGAAGTAAGTGTAATTCGCTGCTTTATTCCCAAACGTTCTTTTAAACAATATTTGACGTACTTGTAGCTTCTTAATTAATTCTCTACTTCTGTGTTATTACTTATTATGATTTTTCGTTGCTTCTTACAGGTATATCTGGAAGCCTTATCTTTATTTCCAAAGGGTTGTTTCATCCTGCTTACATTTATACTAGCACATACAGTAGACATCAAAAATGTAAATATAATTCATGATTTTTAAGAAATTATTAAAGAAAAACCCAAACTTTAAAAAAAAAAACATGTACTAGTAGCTAGTAACCACTGATGGAAAATGGTGGTGCCAGTTGTTCAATTTCATGAACGGCCATAGCAGCTGTCCGCAGAGTATCAGATTTCAACCTGTTCTTACATTGCTGTCTTAACTAATGCAATGGGAACAAGCGTATATTGGCACATAATTGATAACAGCTGGACTTCCTCTTGGGTACTATATTTTCTGGGGCGGACTGAGGCCGTCTTCTGGGTCTTCCAGAAGAAGATCAGATTTTCAAGTTTATATTGATGGGTATCTAATTTTTTCTGTTAGAAGACAGTCAAAAATGGAGGATGGATCAACAAAGATAAATTGGAAGACTGTCAGAAAAAATGTAATTTTTTTGTTCTTCCAACTTTTTGTTCCCCATTTAAATATCTCACTCTACAGCATACACTTTGAAAAATACACTGTATCAATTTGTATTTTTTTAAATCTTATTTATTTATTTATTTATTTATTTATTTATTATTTTATTTTTATTTTATTATTTATTTATTTATATTATTATTTTTATTATTATTATTTTTTTTTTTGCATGCACCTGGGGCTAAAAAGCCTATCACTTTGCCCACTTGTAATTCACAAACATAAAACTCTGCTTAGGAAAATCCTAGAATCAATATTAAAAATGAGTGTTCACATGCAGCTTCTCTAATTATTATGTGGTATATTTAGAGTTTCTATGTAATGACATTACTTAGGGAGTGAAAATCAAGTTGGACAACTTTTGACTCCTTTTTGAAAGTGGCATCTGAAAAATTGATAGACACAGTGTCACTAAAACTTGAATAACTTTTGATCTTAATAAAATGGATTAAAAATTAAAACCGTTTATTCATAGTCAAGTATGTGGATATCTGTGTACCAAATTTCAAGCCTCTAGCTCAATAAGAAAAAAAATTCATGTGTGCACACTACATGTACTGGTGCATGTACTTATACTTTAAACAAAGTATTAATGGATTAATGGACAATTAGTAATTACGTATGGGGAAATCGCCGTTAACCCCAGTAAATCCTTTCTTTCTAAAATGCTTTGGGGGGGAATCATATGCCAACTAGAAGAAACGTGAACGATGCACGCAGCAGCTCCATCAACATGCAAGGCGGAAGCAGAAGGGGGAATTCCCAGTTATGTCACGTGACGAAAATTAGCTCATCAGGGTTTTCTGTGCGTTTCATGTCTCAAACTACGTCACGTCTACTTTTAGATTGGCTAAAGAAAGCATGAAACATTTGTCCATATATATCTATTTGAGCTCTCTTTTCTTTGCCAAAAAAGTATTAATAATAATAGGCCTAATTAACCTCGGCAATCAGATCCAATCAGGCAGGCCAAACCCGCGAACTTTTCTTGTACACCAAAACTTAACCGATTTCTTTGATATACTGGACATTTTGTCGTTACTCCATTAAAATCCAGCAACTGCTATACTCTGTATCGTTTTAAACGGAACGCATCTTGAATCGGGCGGTAATTATACTTACTTTCCTTCTCTTCAAAACAAATGATTGCTGTGCCTGAATCACATTCCGAAACTCGAGACTGCTGTTCATTAACATCGCCCCCATCGCTTTGGTGGTGGCTTTGGAAGTATATGATCAGTTGATCTAGTTCTTGTGGTTGGTAAGTTTTTACGATGATCGCCTTTTCACGCAAAATCAACTCTGCCATTGCGAGAAAATCACAAATGCCTTCGATCCTTCAAGTCAAAGCGAAAGTAATTCGCCATTATAAAATGGAGGAGTGAAGTAGGACGTTGTACCGCGAGAATAATGCTTGACGTCAGCCGTGTTGAGATATTTAAATAGCTCTGCCTTCTGGGCGGAGTCGAAATCAGATTGGCAGTTACAGCACAGGGGTCCACGTAGTACGTGTTTCTGATTTGAGTTTTTGACATAAAGAGTAGATACACATATTTTTATGAATAGACTTTTGTTGCATGCCCGCAGCCAGGGGGGTTCGGGGGGTTCGAAAGAACCGCCCCTTTTGCTGGGAAAAGGTCCATTCTGGGTAAAATTCCATCTAGGTACATGAAGCTTTTATGGAAAAAGGTCCACTTTTTCTGAAAAAGAACCCCCCTTTTGAACTTGCTGGCTACGGCCCTGTATTGTTTTCAGTAATTATGCAGGTTTTGCCTGGGACAGCATATGTAGCCTATTTGTTGTATTTAGAGATACTTTTTGAGAATTTGAATGGGCGGGAGTGATCAATCTCTATAATATCACTTTCACATGTACGTTCTACTCTGATAAAAGTTGGTATCAAAAGTTGCAAGCAAAGACTGCTAATATTTTTTTAAAAAGCATTCAAGAAGTGTCAATTAAGCTCCAGTATTAAAAAAAAAAAAAAAAAGAAAAAGAAAAGAAAAGAAAACATGCCTGTGCTGTAAAATACTTCATTAAACATTTAGTTTGGCCTAATTATCACTCACTTGATTTCTTAGACGGATTTATATTCAAATAACTTTTTTGTTACATTATATTACCTGTATGGTATTTGAAGTGGCCTTTTAAACCAACAGTCATGTGTTATAAAAATTGTAGATAAACCGATAAAGTAGTCCTCTACCAGCACTCGTTATATACGGCCAATGGATGATAAAAGTTCTCAAACTATGCCTAACGAGTGCTCAATACAAAAATGCAATGCCGTTGCTGGTGTACAACAATACAAAACATAGAACATTAGTTTACATCCAGTACTGTATTCCTTTTTTTTTATTTTATCTTATTTATTTATTTTTTTTTTTTTTTTTACATCACATCATTTTGCTTGCTTACTTTCCATAATAAATAAATAAATGAATGAATAGTTAAAAGGACGGGTCATTATATAGTTTATTATGCATCGTTATTAAAATTTTGAAGACATAAGACATTGAATACGAATTCTTTTTGTAGACCTACGGATAATCAAGGCATTCATAGTGGTAATGCAGTCGGTTTTGAGACATCAGCAGGGCCGAAGAATAATCAGCAGAGAATCGTGTCATGAATTAGCCGAGACACATCCATTAATAAATTTAGTGAAAAATCAATTTGTGAACCTGGTAGAGGTTAGATTCCTTGCCTCATTGCGCATGCTGACCTAGCCATTGTCCCCAACTGAACTCCTGACGTCATCATCTTTTATTTCTGAACTCTTCGTGCTATCTCCAAATCTATAGGTGGATTTAAAGGCAGATATTCCCTGGGCCAGTTATTACTAATGGATGGATCAAAGGTAATAAACGGAATATTAATGAAGAGCCTGATAATTGTGTTCTCCAGTTGCAGATTCTTGCAGACAAACTTCTCAACTCGCAGAAGGTTGTTCACTTGATAATAAAAATCTTTAAAAATAAAAATAAAAAAATTATGCCATAGGTTAACTGTGGGAAACAACGCACTCGTGTAGAAAACTTCTCAACTCGCAGAAGGTTGTTCGCTTGATAATTAAAATCTTTAAAAAAATTTTTAAATGTATGCCAAAGGTTAAAAGGTTAACTGTGGGAAACAACGCACTCGTGTAGAAAATTTATAGAACCCACCATACATTTACACCAAATATAAGACCACCTTAGAAATAATTTTATACAAAACAATATCTTTAAAATTACTTAAAGGTGCAGTTGAGTATGGGCGGCCAAAAGGGCAAAAATNTGACCTAGCCATTGTCCCCAACTGAACTCCTGACGTCATCATCTTTTATTTCTGAACTCTTCGTGCTATCTCCAAATCTATAGGTGGATTTAAAGGCAGATATTCCCTGGGCCAGTTATTACTAATGGATGGATCAAAGGTAATAAACGGAATATTAATGAAGAGCCTGATAATTGTGTTCTCCAGTTGCAGATTCTTGCAGACAAACTTCTCAACTCGCAGAAGGTTGTTCACTTGATAATAAAAATCTTTAAAAATAAAAATAAAAAAATTATGCCATAGGTTAACTGTGGGAAACAACGCACCCGTGTAGAAAACTTCTCAACTCGCAGAAGGTTGTTCGCTTGATAATTAAAATCTTAAAAATTTTTTTTTAAATGTATGCCAAAGGTTAAAAGGTTAACTGTGGGAAACAACGCACTCGTGTAGAAAATTTATAGAACCCACCATACATTTACACCAAATATAAGACCACCTTAGAAATAATTTTATACAAAACAATATCTTTAAAATTACTTAAAGGTGCAGTTGAGGTTTTATCATAAAATCGCAAAATAATATTCTTATTTAACACTATATATTTTAGTCGAAATACACAGCTAAATAAAAGACGCACAAAGTTTAATGGTTATATTACTTATAGTAAAACATTTCGCATGTTTTGTAACCCCCCTCTTGAAGACAACGAACTAAACGAAATAACAAAAAAGCCTTTTCCTTAATGCGTCAAGATTAACGTAATCACTGGATACCTTTTAGGTGCGACGGGGTGTTCTACACTGACATCAAAGTTTACCTTTAGTTATCGGGAATAAAATGGACTGCCCCACTTAAATAAACCTATGATCGAAGTGTTCTTTGTGGCGTGTCCCAACATGGGATGCAGGGTAAACAGCTCGGGTGCACCAAGGAGTAACCCCCCATCTTGTACATAAACTCGCCTACATGTACAAGCGTGAACTGCCTTGTGATAAAACGTCACTCACGTTGAACACGTTTCCGGCAACGTGTGTCTGGGACCGCACATGTTCCAACGTGACCTCAGCACGGGACGGGTGTTCTCTCAATAGTCTCAACCGGGCGAGTTACCTGGTCCATGAACTCATAAACTAAAGGTTCGGTGAAGGTTGCCTAAGAACATATTTATTTGCTCAACATTGATAGAAAACTTACACCTGATGGAAGTAGATAATTTGCAAGAAATTAAGTAAATATAAAATACTTGAATTTCAAGTTTCTTAGAGAAAATATGATTAGATATTCAGTTTCTAGTTCATCAAAGAGAAAAGGCAAGTAAAAAAGCTTTGTTTATGAGGGACATGTCATTACCCTATGGAAAAAAGTAGTCGGCTACGAGGTGAAAATAGCTTTTCACTGTACACAAAGCGCTGAGTCTCTGTATCCTGAAAAGGAAAATCTGGATCATTTTTGACGGATTCTCAATTATATATCCGTTTCCAATTAATTAAGACTTAGTTTGATATTTGGGTAAATATAAGATGTGACGAGTATAGGTAACAGGTATAACGGGCTTTATATTAATCGTCAAAAGGGCGTCCCAAGCGACATGAATGCCGAAAACACAAACAGTTATATCAGATATTTTGGTAAAATGTATAACAATATTCAAACTAATTATGTACATTTGGCTGAAAAAGTTAAATAAGCCATATCTTGTTTTCGGCACTTTTTATGTTGGTAACGTTGATTTTATTACTTGATTGTATTGAAATCATCCAGGTACATTTGTCATGCTTTACAGGTCATAAATTACATGGACCAAATATTTCACCAGGTCATTTCTTAGAAACACATGTATTCAACGTGCTTGTAGGAATTTTCAAGTCTTTTCACGTGAACTAGCCAGACGCATTCTCCGGAAAAAATCAGCCGTCGCCCTTGTGCAAATGGTGGTTGAAACTTTGACAAATTTTTCCATGGTTGCATTAAAAAAAACAACTGCTCCTCACACGAAATTATTATGGTAATAATTACACTAAATTAACAACGATAACTAAATAAAACGAAAAAAAAAAAAGAAATTTGTAGCATTTAAATTCATATTCAGTATTAACACGGCATTAAATACAAGCACCCCACTTTTTATGAGGTTAACACCCGAAAGCACAAACCACAAGAAAGGGGATTTTTTTTCACCTGTCGCCGACGATGTTTTTATCTGTCACCGAACGGATTCGCCATAAAACAAAAACTCCTCCACCACCGAAATAAGAAATTAACTTGGGCGACGTTTTTAATCATTATTAATGATCGGATATTTTTCTTCTTTGAAAAGAGAAAATATATTCGATCCAGTTATATAAGTTTCGACCCTCTTGAGATTTCTCTCTAATGAGCAATTGATATCCAACACATAATACTGTTGCCATAACAGTGACCTGAATTCCTTCCGATTGTTTTTCTCATCATTATTATTTTCTTTTCCATAATCCCGAGGATGACTTATTCCGATTTAAACGCTGCTGAATACATTTCGATTTACACGTTCTCGTGGGGATTACTTGGGAGTTTTACGTAAGATAACGACCTCCCGTTTTGGCAGGAAAACTATACTAAGGCGATTCAATACCTTTTCTCAGGAATAGAGGCACGAGTGCGGTTGTTTACAAAGAAGAGCTTTTTGTAACACACACCTGCCTCCAGGTTGTCCTACAGGTAAGTAAAATTCCCCATATTTTCTGAAATACATGTTCAAGCGCCATCTTTACAAGACTTAATTTTTGTGCTTTTCCCATTAGTTCTGTATATAAACATGTATTATAATGACCAGTTATAACGGACAAAGATCGGGACTAGGCATGTTAGCGTTTCTAACGATTTTGAAGGCATTGGTATCTATTGTTCAACTCGTATCACGGCCAGCCCTGAAAATAAAAATCTCCACACGTACCACTTCTATCAGTAAGACACGTTGACGTTTGTAGCAGACCATTCTCTTACGGTTGCGCAAGTCGAATATAACATTCGTCCGCAAGTTGCTTGAAAAAAATATAAGGTCATGTGGTGCACTCCCGTCATTTTCTATTACAATTCGGCGAGCCGTACATAAATCGATTCAGATAACATTCCAGTTCAAAAGGATATTTCATATGAAACTCTTCATATGAAATTAAAAATTCCACAATAAATAAATTGTAAACAACACATAAAACCATAATAAATTCCACTTTACCACCAAACAGCGGTTATTCTGAAATTTGTGCTTGCCATCGAACCACGTGTATAACTCTTCGCTTTGGCCAAAAAATGAATTTTCCTGGAGTAAACAACAATTTTCCCATATTAACCAATGGTTAATAAATTCATTTTTACATTCAAAGTGAGTCCCTGTTTTTTTTCTAAAAAGTTTGGTTTTTTGTTAAAATCTCTTAAGAGATTATAACAGAGCATAGCCATCAATGGAGGTCACGTGATCTGAAGACAAGCTCAGATATCAGAATAATAGCTATAATTGCCGTTTTTGTGGTAAAACAGAATATATTATATTTCTATATGAGTTGTGTACAATGTTTTTATTGTGAAATATAGATATCATACGAAGAGTTATTATCCCTTTAAAGAATCGACTTACTTTGAATAAGGGAACGGATTCGTTATAGACTATTGAAAAGTATGCGTAAATCGTCGTTAACCCTGGGAAAATACGTTTATGGTACTTTTCCCGCCAAAATGAAGTTGTTATCCCTTTCAAGTTTGTTCATCATAAACTAAAAACAATGAAAATCACAATACAAATAACCATTTTCCCATGGTTTAATTTTTATGCAGTAACAATAAATAACATTTGAATGCGATGCAGCGACTACATAACAGCCGATGTATTCTGCTGGCACTTCTCATTTTTGTAGAGAACTGGCGCTGTATAAATAACATTGGCTGTCAAATATGGGTACAGTGTAGAAATAGATGGAATTTTGGCTAACAATACACATCTAAACAACTATGAATAATACATAAAGTATAAAACAAAGGAAGGATATATGTTTAAACAAATATAAAACAGATCCGTTTCTTCAATCATATTGCATTTGGTGCTCCTTTGCACATCCCACCTCTCCTGGTCACAACTTTTCCGAGAGAAATGCTCGACTGTTACTGGCATAACAATAAGGTTATTTTGCTATACGCTTTATGTTTTACATACTGGACTAAAAATCTCATTGTTATTTTAGAGTTTTAGAGAAGTAAAAATGAATCAAGGGTAATTCGAACTCTTACTGCAATGCTCGCTGCTATCACATTTCGAGTAGTACCATTTCTTGAGAGAAAAAACTTGCTATGAATGCCATCTTCTTACCAAACGTTAAAGTTTTCATGACGCTTAGCTGTAGCACCGTTGTGATAAAAGAATATGAGCTGGGAAAGAGAACATTTTGTGAAGTGCAAGTACCAAGCAAATTGAATAATGTAACGACTAACCTCAGACTCTTGATGTTGAAAAACATTTGATGAAAGACGTTTTGCAAACAGACCTATTAAAATCATTAAATTGAGCATGAGCAACTAGACATGGAAGAAGGTGACTTGACACTCGGAAAGATATTAGAGAACAATAACTCTAATTTAAGGAGTTGACTGATGAAACCACATATATATATATATATATATATATATATATATATATATATATATATATATATATATATATATATATAAAACTGAAGATATGGAAGGTGCTGATTCAGAAGATACCAAAACTACACCCTGGGCCAGGATTTAAATATGACAGCAATCTACATACACAAACTGCAAAAACGAAAACATAACTGGGTAAGAATACATTTAACACTTGCTCTTTTCCAAGTTTTAAAGCTAGATAAGTTATTTTATCCCACTTAACAAATAAAGCTTGCAAGGTCAGAGATCTTAATTGCACAATCAGCATTTTGGAAGCTTTTGATATAAATAGTACAATATATATATATATACCCATATGCTTTTTACAGCACTAACATATATAACCCATTACAATTTTCTTGGCATTATGAGAAATGGACAAATTTCATCAAATTAAAATTATCTAGTATCACATGTAGTATCACTTCAATTCAGCAAGAAGGCCAGCTCTCTCTATAATAATTTTCACAAATTAGGCTAGAGGGAAAGCTTGTATTTGATTAATGTTTTCTTTTTCCTTTTTGCTAGAACTTGAGGTGCAGGTGTATATAGATTCATTCATACAGTCTTTAAACACTCACTGAACACTGCACTCTAGAGAGCAGTCTGCTTTGAAGTTGCTAGATACAGAAGAGTTTTCTGTCTTTGTTTGAAGCAAGCAGAACACAGAAAATCAGTCTGCTCAGTGCCAAAGAATGGGCACCCCTGAGTCTTGCATCTCCGCCTAATAGCATCTTTCCCTTCATACCAAATATCTGGGGGGTGTTGCCCCTGCTGTTGTTCCTGATGCTGCATGTCCACTTTGTACCCTGGGGTCACCTTACTACTGGCCAAACCCCCCGATTGAGTGGACCCCATGTCCAGGTATCCCCTTTGTGGTGGTTGCTGCACACCTCGGGGCTTGAAAACCCTTCTTGTTCCATCTTCATGAATTATTTGTATTGGTACAGACCTCTCCATAGATTGAGGAGGGCTTCTAGGGGGTGAGCCTCCAGCCCTGTTAAACTGTGCCGGGACAGAAGACCGAGCCCCTGCTGCTGCTGCAGACAGCCCATGTCCTGATATATTCCGTGGCTCTGGCATGGAAACCCGCTGTCCTTGCTGTATTGCACTTTTGCTGTTGGGAGGGGGTTGTGGAGCCACTCGCTTCATTCCTGACACAGCACTGGTCTGGCCTGGCGGGGGCATTATAAAAACACTGCCTTGTGAAGTGGGATTCCTTATTGTGTTGCCATGGTAGAAAGTGGAGTTTGATAATTCTAATGTTTTAGATTTGCTAGCCTGACCAGGACCACCAGTGTTATTGAGCACCACAGTATTGTTAAGATTAGGGTCTACAGGACGACCACTGACTGGACGCTCTCCAGGCTGATTGGACCCAGTTGACCGACTCTCACTCTCACTGGGCAAGTAAAATTTGGACTTCCCAGACTGATACAGCGTTGCATCTTTCTGTTCAGCACCAGGTTTGTTAGCAATTCTATTATCCACCTTTGGAATAAGTTTAACTTCTAATTTCTCTTGGCCTGGTATGCTTTGACCGGGCCCCCTCTGCATGTCTAATACCTGTTGCTGCTGTTGTTTATAACAACCTGAACAGAGATAATTAGTGTTTGCTGTTCCAAACAATTTACAACCAGTATTAATGCATGGGACAGGGGCACTGTCAACTTCATCCTCAATTTTCTGCCCCACCTTCTGCTTCAGTTCTTCGTTCTTTTTCTGTTTTATCTTCTGGTGTTCCTCAAATCTTTCCCGTGCAGAAGACAGGTAGTTTTTGATCATTTCCTCCTCATGCTTTGCTCTTTTGTGGGACAAACTTGCACACATGACTGTGGTATGGTCTCTAAGAAGCTCTGCAGATATGGAGCTTTTCCTAGTACTTTGAGTTACAGTGTTCAAACCATTATTCTCCTTGTAATCCTTGCTTTTGTTTTTGTTCTTATTCTTTGACTTCCCAATAGTTCCAAACTTTTTGATATTATTTTTCATGGATTTCCCAATGCTTCCAAACTGTTTTGCTACAGTCTGCATTTGCTTGGCCATTTTGTTTTTCTCCCTTCCATTGTCATTCATATTCAAAGCTTTCATGCCTTCATCTGACTCAAAAGATCCAGTACTACTTGATCTGGTCTCATCACGCTCAGATTTATCACTCTCCTGACTGATTAGAATATTCTCCTTGAAAGGACAACTGTCCAGATCATCTGCCATTGGGATGGGTGCCCATTTGATGTCCAGATAACGCTCCAGTAGCTTGAGCTTATCCTCAGTGGTAAGAGAAAATCTAGCAAGGATTTTTGGGTCCTCCTCATCCTTCATCCACTGGAATGAAGCGCCAGGATCTATGGCAAAGTGAAGTGGGAGCAATTCAAAATCTGACCCTACCAGTGGAATAAGAGCTGAAATAAACCAGAGATAATAAATTTTAATCTGCTGCTATAGAACAAGACAACACTCACTTTGTCAATAGAGCCAAATACTACTAAAACTGAAACCAAAATTAACAAAATAATGGTAATCCACCATAGTCAGTTACATCAACAATGTATGAATGATATCAAATTCTGACAGCTGAAGATCTGCCAAATGCAATTGGTTCTATCCTTTGCATTAATGTTTTACTATATTAAAATGTTATCAGAAAATATTAAAATGTGAACACAAAAGCATACAAGAGGAAATGAAATGCAAAAAAATTGATGCGTTCTCATATTCAAATTCGAACATATATATGGATGACAGAGCTTATTTCAAATAATGTACTCAAATTTTTGGGTCATTTCAAAATGCTGGTTTTTGATTTAAATTTAAAAAAATCAAATTAATGTGTTTGTAAATATAATACAAAAATCATGTTCCAATAGAAGAATTACTGCAAATACCTGGAGGCCTTGGTTTGTCCACTGGTGAAGATTCTAACTCCATGGCAACTAATGCTGAGAAATGAGCAGCATCATACGTCAACACAAGTGGTGACCTATGACAACTCTTGGGATCACATTCATATGGGAGATAAATTCCACCAAAGGGAATAGGAGCAAATGCCTCCCCATTGATATCCTTGAGGTACTGATCTGCTATCACTATGACAGTGCGATGGAGGACATGGGCGAGGACAAACACATGCAACTCCTCTAAGCTTTCATAATACAAGTCTCCACCATTTCCTTCACATTTATGCCATGATAGCCTGGATCTGAGGAATAACAGTGTTCATTCTTATAAAAACAATTAAAAACTAATCTAAGCTTTTTCCCTTTGTCATGTCACAAAACTTAACTTCACAACCTGTTTCATTGTCTTAAATGATAAGCGTTTTAACTCACACTATAAAAAATAAAATCAAAATAAACAAGATGCACTATTTCGTATCAATATCTGATAACTTTACTATCATCTGCAAAGACAAGTCGCCTTTTAAACAATTCACTTACGATCTGGTAGCAGGACTATCACAACATCCTCTCTCACTTCCACCTGGCTGGGAACGTGGTGTACTGGAGGCCAAAGTAAGCAAACTTTGCCATTCTTTTGACCATTCTTCTTCAGAATACAGCAGACCAGACTGGAACAATAATCATTTCACACATGAAGAGTTTTTAACATATCACAGCATACTACTTTGGAACTGTTGTATATATAAAACATCTGGAAATTTACAATAATGTGACGGCAGTCTAAAAATACACCTCAACCCTCACTTCTTCAGAAATAATTGGAACAGGGATGAGATGTTTCTATGGCAAAGCAGTGATCAGTACACTAATGATGTGTCAATCACATCCACCCATCACGCTGTCTAAGTGCATGGATTCTTGTTCAACCCCTTCTCAATTTATTATGATCTTGAAAAGAAAGCTAACAAAATTCATTACAACTTACTCGAGGCCTACACAAGAGGCATTTGCACTTAAGTTTTAAGTGGTCTTAAATAATTACTTCGTCAAATTATGACATGTACCTTCACTTCAAGTTGTCTTAGTTTTTAGTGGTCTTCACTTATCACTTCTTAAAATTATTATGTGAATCTTCACCAATTAGTGTAATGGTAAGACAAATGGACAAACTTTTAAACATAGTGTTCCCAATAGCCACATAAAATGTCCAAGTGGACAATTAAATGTTTACGTCTTCATGTGAGTAAAGTTTCATTGAGGTCTGCAGGTATAAATAGTGATATTCCATTCACCTCTTTGTTTGCCTGTGTCTGTTGCCAGCGCCATCTTCTGTAGAATGCCAGTTTGTAATCACTGTGGACTAGAGTATTATACAGAGCTTTCCTGAGGGTAAGAAGTCTGTCATGAAAACCCCACATTCCTTCAAAAAAAAAAAAAAAAGGAAAGCTTTTAACATTTTCCTCTAGCAAATCCAAGTCCAGATTAGTAAGAAATGCCATTTAAGAAATGTCACATAACAACAATGATCAAGTAAACTGATGAAATATTAACAGGAGGTAAAACCTCTGTTGTATTGCCAATTATCACATCATAACACTTCTCTCTCAAGCACAATTACAGTGTCTGCGCTCACACTTACAGGGATAATTACTGTCAAATTGATATCTCTTTCTCTAAACGCAAACAACTGCTGCATAACATATGAGATATAACTTACCTAGTGAAGCTGCATGTAACAAACAGTTCCCATCTCCACTGGTCACCATTGGTAGGAGACGCTGGCAAGCTCCCATCTCTGCCCACCAGTTCAATACACCTGAGGACATAGGAATCACCTGATAATTACCACATCTGCATCATCATCATTTCTAGTTTCTATATGTACAGACTGTTATCTGTTTCTCTTTCTTCCCCCTTCTAATTTTTCTTGTTTGCATGAAATGTGATAATATTGACCTGATCAGTTTGCAATTTTCTGCACCAGAAATTATGTGCCTTTTTTTTTTTTTTTTTGTCACTTATAGGTGCCTGGGATTTTCAACCCTGGAAATATTAACAGTGTTATGGAACATAAAAAAATGCCACTTTGTGTGCTGACAAAAGATAACAGTTATCCATCTTACTCTTTAGCCATGGCACAAATGGACATATAATGCTGGAAATAACCAGAAAAAATACACATGAGAATCTCACATGAAGACCTTGATAAATCATATAATCTCTCACAAAGGCTCCTAGATTTTCTGAAGTAGGTTACTTTGTAAGTCATAAGGCCAGTTCTCATAAAGGCATGGAGTGAGATTTTCAAAAATCAAATAAAAGCAGGTTTAATGGTTCACAGCTGCTACACCAACAAAGAGACAACATGCTGGAAATTAAGCACGGTTACATGACTGAACATGGTAAATAAACCCTTCCCTGACTAGCAACATTATGCTAGCAGATACATGTACAAACACTATATATCATTGGTCAGTGATTCTCCTGGCTTATGTTATTACACATAAGAGTCTGCAAACACACATCTGCACATACAACCATTGGCAAGTATAATTACTTGCATTTATATCTTTAAGATTTTATTTTCTTTAGAGTAATTCTCAAATGAACTCTAGTGAAAAGTTTTTCTTTTTTTTTCATTTTTGAAAGCAGGTTACTTTTTTAAGTTACATTAAGGCCAGTACATGCTTTCCTCAGATCTTGTTGTCTTAAAGCGTGCCAAAATCAGGTTGCAACATTTCCCACAGAACTTCTCAAGTCCTCAAAAATTTATATACAAGATAAAATGCATTTAGCATTACAGACATGTTTGTGAGATCTTTGCAAATTATAAGTTCAGTCAATCAAATGCAATATTAAGGCAGACTGTGATGCAGCTCTTAGACATAAAATTTTCTCCCCTTGATATAAGCTAGTTCAATTTCTGATATGAAAGGATATTCTCAAGCATCCTGCAATCATGTCTAAGTGATATGAATTACAGCAGTATATGAGAACACCCAGTCAGACCCAGGAGGTGCATATTCTCTGTCAATCTTGATGACATGAAACTCAACATGATGTGAGGCAGGGAAAAATCTGAACAAAGTTCAATAGCTAGGTGTTAAATACAAAGTCTATTACTTTTCAGTCCAATTGCANTAATCCTTGCTTTTGTTTTTGTTCTTATTCTTTGACTTCCCAATAGTTCCAAACTTTTTGATATTATTTTTCATGGATTTCCCAATGCTTCCAAATTGTTTTGCTACAGTCTGCATTTGCTTGGCCATTTTGTTTTTCTCCCTTCCATTGTCATTCATATTCAAAGCTTTCATGCCTTCATCTGACTCAAAAGATCCAGTACTACTTGATCTGGTCTCATCACGCTCAGATTTATCACTCTCCTGACTGATTAGAATATTCTCCTTGAAAGGACAACTGTCCAGATCATCTGCCATTGGGATGGGTGCCCATTTGATGTCCAGATAACGCTCCAGCAGCTTGAGCTTATCCTCAGTGGTAAGAGTAAATCTAGCGAGGAATTTTGGGTCCTCCTCATCCTTCATCCACTGGAATGAAGCGCCAGGATCTATGGCAAAGTGAAGTGGGAGCAATTCAAAATCTGACCCTACCAGTGGAATAAGAGCTGAAATAAACCAGAGATAATGGATCAATCATCTTTTTAATCTGCTTCTATAGAACAAGACAACACTCACTTTGTCAATAGAGACAAATACTACTAAAACTGAAACCAAAATTAACAAAATAATGGTTCTCCTCTTTAGTAAGTTACATCAACAATGTATGAATGACATCAAATTCTGACAGCTGAAGATTTGCCGAATGCAATTGGTTCTATCCTTTGCATTAATGTTTTACTATATTAAAATGTTATCAGAAAATATTAAAATGTGAACACAAAAGCATACAAGAGGAAATGAAATGCAAAAAAATTGATGCGTTCTCATATTCAAATTCGAACATATATATGGATGACAGAGCTTATTTCAAATAATGTACTCAAATTTTTGGGTCATTTCAAAATGCTGGTTTTTGATTTAAATTTAAAAAAATCAAATTAATGTGTTTGTAAATATAATACAAAAATCATGTTCCAATAGAAGAATTACTGCAAATACCTGGAGGCCTTGGTTTGTCCACTGGTGAAGATTCTAACTCCATGGCAACTAATGCTGAGAAATGAGCAGCATCATACGTCAGCACAAGTGGTGACCTATGACAACTCTTGGGATCACATTCATATGGGAGATAAATTCCACCAAAGGGAATAGGAGCAAATGCTTCCCCATTGATGTCCTTGAGGTACTGATCTGCTATCACTATGACAGTGCGATGGAGGACATGGGCGAGGACAAACACGTGCAACTCCTCTAAGCTTTCATAATACAAGTCTCCACCGTTTCCTTCACATTTATGCCATGATAGCCTGGACCTGAGGAATAACAGTGTTCATTCTTATAAAAACAATTAAAAACTAATCTAAGCTTTTTCCCTTTGTCATGTCACAAAACTTAACTTCACAAACTGTTTCATTGTCTTAAATGATAAGCGTTTTAACTCACACTATAAAAAATAAAATCAAAATAAACAAGATGCACTATTTCGTATCAATATCTTTACTATCATCTGCAAAGACAAGTCGCCTTTCAAACAATTCACTTACGATCTGGTAGCAGGACTATCACAACATCCTCTCTCACTTCCACCTGGCTGGGAACGTGGTGTACTGGAGGCCAAAGTAAGCAAACTTTGCCATTCTTTTGACCATTCTTCTTCAGAATACAGCAGACCAGACTGGAACAATAATCATTTCACACATGAAGAGTTTTTAACATATCACAGCATACTACTTCGGAACTGTTGTATATATAAAACATCTGGAAATTTACAATAATGTGACGGCAGCCTAAAAATACACCTCAACCCTTACTTTTTCAGAAATAATTGGAACAGGGATGAGATGTTTCTATGGCAAAGCAGTGATCAGTAAACTAATGATGTGTCAATCACATCCACCCATCACGCTGTCTTGGGCTGTATTCCCAGAGCTTTTAGATCGATCTATCCCCGCGGGGAGTCTCACTTGATAACTGTCAGATAATCCGGCTTAAATGTCCGTCCCGCCTACTACAAGCTGTAAGGGGGTAATTAACTTTCGTGTCCACTCGGCTTACAGCTATTTAGCGTGAAACCCTAGGGAGTTAGGTCGATCTAAAGTAGATTGATCTAATCTCTGGAAATGGGGTCTAAGTGCATGGATTCTTGTTCAACCCATTCTCAATTAATTATGATCTTGAAAAGAAAGCTAACAAAATTCATTACAACTTACTCGAGGCCTACACAAGAGGCATTTGCACTTAAGTTTTAAGTGGTCTTAAATAATTACTTCGTCAAATTATGACATGTACCTTCACTTCAAGTTGTCTTAGTTTTTAGTGGTCTTCACTTATCACTTCTTAAAATTATTATGTGAATCTTCACCAATTAGTGTAATGGTCAGACAAATGGACAAACTTTTAAACATAGTGTTCCCAATAGCCACATAAAATGTCCAAGTGGACAATTAAATGTTTACGTCTTCATGTGAGTAAAGTTTCATTGAGGTCTGCAGGTATAAATAGTGATATTCCATTCACCTCTTTGTTCGCCTGTGTCTGTTGCCAGCGCCATCTTCTGTAGAATGCCAGCTTGTAATCACTGTGGACTAGAGTATTATACAGAGCTTTCCTGAGGGTAAGAAGTCTGTCATGGAAACCCCACATTCCTTCAAAAAAAAAAAAAAAAAAAAGGAAAGCTTTTAACATTTTCCTCTAGCAAATCCAAGTCCAGATTAGTAAGAAATGCCATTTAAGAAATGTCACATAACAACAATGATCAAGTAAACTGATGAAATATTAACAGGAGGTAAAATCTCTGTTATATTGCCAATTATCACATCATAACACTTCTCTCTCAAGCACAATTACAGTGTCTGCGCTCACACTTACAGGGATAATTACTGTCAAATTGATATCTCTTTCTCTAAACGTAAACAACTGCTGCATAACATATGAGATATAACTTACCTAGTGAAGCTGCATGTAACAAACAGTTCCCATCTCCACTGGTCACCATTGGTAGGAGACGCTGGCAAGCTCCCATCTCTGCCCACCAGTTCAATACACCTGAGGACATAGGAATCACCTGATAATTACCACATCTGCATCATCATCATCATTTCTAGTTTCTATATGTACAGACTGTTATCTGTTTCTCTTTCTTCCCCCTTCTAATTTTTCTTGTTTGCATGAAATGTGATAAAATTGACCTGATCAGTTTGCAATTTTCTGCACCAGAAATTATGTGCCCTTTCTTTTTTTTCACTTATAGGTGCCTGGGATTTTCAACCCTGGAAATATTAACAGTGTTATGGAACATAAAAAAATGCCACTTTGTGTGCTGACAAAAGATAACAGTTATCCATCTTACTCTTTAGCCATGGCACAAATGGACATATAATGCTGGAAATAACCAGAAAAAATACACGAGAATCTCACATGAAGACCTTGATAAATCATATAATCCCTCACAAAGGCTCCTAGTTTTTCTGAAGTAGGTTACTTTGTAAGTCATAAGGCCAGTCCTCATAAAGACATGGAGTGAGATTTTCAAAAATCAAATAAAAACAGGTTTAATGGTTCACAGGTGCTACACCAACAAAGAGACAACATGCTGGAAATTAAGCACGGTTACATGACTGAACATGGTAAATAAACCCTGACTAGCAACATTATGCTAGCAGACACATGTACAAACACTATATATCATTGGTCAGTGATTCTCCTGGCTTATGTTATTACACATAAGAGTCTGCAAACACACATCTGCACATACAACCATTGGCAAGTATAATTACTTGCAAATCTTTAAGATGTTATTTTCTTTAGAGTAATTCTCAAAGGGGAGATTGATAAATCAAATGAACTCTAGTGAAAGTTTTTTCTTTTTTTTTTCATTTTTGAAAGCAGGTTACTTTTTTAAGGCCGGTGATAGGGTTAAATACGCTTAAAATCATGTTTTTAAGTTTTTTGTGTGTTTATATTAATCAAAAAAGTATCTAACGTTGGATGTAATAATTTTTATGAATTTGCATCGCAAAATGTGTCTTTTGATGAGTTTTTCAACCGGCACGCGCCCCAGTCAGGCTGGCAACTAAGCCACGCCTCTGTTACTAAGGGCCGTTGCCAAGAGGGGGTCGGAGCACAGTTAATGAGTTATAAGCCGATTACGTGTGCGGTAATAGGTTATAAGCCTTACATCAGCTTAGCAGCGAAGAAGTCTNCCCCTTGAAATGATTGCTCATATACTAGCACCCCATTAGGTGATATAAATTAAGTTGTACACAACAACATCTTGGCAGCCTAAAACCCCAAAGGCTGCAGGCACATAAGTACAAGAAGGTAAAATGCATTTACACAATTTATTATCTGACACAGTGGGTAAGCAGAATCAGAACCCATGTGAACTTACACTTAATGCAGGTTTGCAATATTTTACACCAATCAAATCAAGCAAAGATCCATAATAAAAGTAATAATAATTCAGAGTCATAAACATAAAAAATTGCCAGGTCTTTTCATGAAAGTGAATACAGGTCTATATTTATCTTGTCTTTTTTCTACATGGACCATTGGTTCATTGGTACAAAACATACATGAGTTCAATTTAAAACTTTACTACAAAAATGTGCCCATGGCTCTTTAAAAATGACTCACCTGCCTGCTCTAGTGACACTAAAGTGGACATTTCAATGAGATCTTTCTCAAGGAAAGCCCTGTAGTCTTCAGTGTATTTGGTCAGGTCTGGAAGCATGAATGTGAACTCTGGCGTCTCCACTAGATGTGGAAATTGATCATCCCGAGATTCCTTAATGTCACTGAGCACTTCTTGACGAGCATGATCCACAAGACTCAAATTCTGAGTGGCTGCTGATATTCCTCGCTTCAGCTTCTTTTGACCTAATGGCGAGTCGATTTAAACATGACTTTACCTATTTCTCTCAGAGGCATATTTCATGTTTATTTAGCTTAGTCTCAATATTTTCCTATAATGCCATGTCTGCTTGTCATGATATATGAAAGACTCCTGGGAACCAAATATTATCAGTTGCATCTACAACATACTGGGTAAAAATTGAGGAATTCAGCTAGAAATACCAACCAGATAAATAAATGACAAATGAGATTTTCTGAAAGCAGTTCTGGATAATAAAATTGCTTTTTGATAAAAGCATACTGCAATAAATATTGGAAATAACTCCTAAATGAGAAAGTCGATGGGAAAAAGAAGACAGCATTTAAGGTCTTATAAGCAAACAATGGTGATTTACACATGAACTTTTCCTCATATTTACCTGCATCGGAACCTGAAATGGAACCTTTTTCAACAGCTTCGCCCTTGACAAGAGGAGGCTTCATTTTCCCTCCATAGTTGGCCGTATCATTTTCACTCTGCCTGAATCCCACCCCTCCATCATTTACAGGGAACTGGTTTGCCTTGGTTTGCTGTCCAAAGACCTGCCGCTGACTCACAACATGAGGTTTAGTTTCTTCCAGAACGGGCGACAGATCACGTGGAAAGGGCGGTGTGCCACTCCTCATAGAGTTAAATGCCTTTAGAGCTTGGATGTAATCATAATTCGCACCTATAAAATATAGTAATGGGGAAAACAAGTTCAGTTTTGATTTAAACCAAGATTATTCAACATTAACCTATACTCTTGAAAAACATTAAACTGTAGCATTTTAACACCACACTGAAAAAATAAGTGTAAATTACTCAACTTACTGAATTATAAATCATCTAAAGGTTAAACTTGAAGCTCTCCCTATTAGATACAGAATTGTAAAAGTTGGTTCATATGGTTCAGCTATATTCACTGATTAAAAACTTCAAACAGTAGCATAAAACATGATTTATATAAACTCCACATAAGTTTACAATCATTAATAAATAACCAAGGTAGTATTTTGTCAATAAATATGCTCACTTCAAAAAATGAAACCTTTAGAAACCTATTCCTCCATTGTCCCAGTCCCATAACACTTTGTGACCATCTTTACTCAACTTCTTGTAGGTCCCTGGCCAATCCTGAGTCTGCATCAAACTTTGTGAAACTCTTAACTCACCATCAAGAAGGTCCCTGGCCAGCCCTGGGTCTGCCCCAGTCTCAGACGGGCATCACATTTTGTGACCCTCTTTACTCACAGTCTAGAAGGTCCCTGGTCAGCCCTGGGTCTGTTCCAGTCTCTGGTGTGCATCAAATTTAGTGGCCCTCTTTACTCACCTTCTAGAAGATCCCTGGCCAGCCCTGGGTCTGCCCCAGTCTCTGTTATGAACTGTGACAATTTTTTATCCATGGTCCACAGCTGCTACACTAACAAGGAGACAGCATGCTGGAAATCAAGCACAGCTTGGTAAATAAATCCTTCCCTGACTCACAATAACATGTTAGCAAATAGATATAAACAATATATATTAAAAGGTCTTTGATTCAATTCTCCCACCTTGTAATGCTGTGTTCACAATACAGTCTCTGAGTCTCTCTCTCTCTTTCTCTCTCTCTCTCTCTCTCTCTCTCTCTCTCTCTCTCTCTCTCACACACACACACACACACACACACACACACACACACCTTATAAACTGTTAAAATGTTTTTTGGGGTATTTCTGAGTGGCAACATTAAAGAAGTAACTAACAGGATTTATATCTGTGTCAGATCCTGTCCCAATGACAACAGAAACCAAAGCCAGTATAAAGAGTTAAAGCATGAAACAAAAATCCAAATTACTCAAATGTGACATTCTGTTTGTTAGACATATCTGTCTGATTGAGCTTAATGTCATTGACTTTTTTGGTGTCTCCTTGACATTTCCATGGCCAGGATTCCATTGTGTTTATTCATGTAATCATTCATAGAAACGTAAATAATTTGCTGGTGTTTTACAACCTATGTCAACAAAAGGCATTGCTATTAGCAGACCTTTCATATGTTTGAGTCACTGTGGTTTGATAAACAAAATTCCATATAAGGTTAAATGGGTTTAACACCCCAAAACAATGGCTGTATACTATGGCCTACTTTAAACAAGTGACTTAAAATATTGCAAAAAAATTCTTACAAGATTTATGACTACATCAGAGCTAAGCCTCTATCCTACAAAAATCTTCCATCACAACTGTCTCCTACTGTCGTGTTCACAGGGCTTCCAGGGCCCATATTATTATTTCCAAGTAATAACATCAGCTAAATGTCATGGGATAGATGTGTTACTACTCATAATGTTGCACTGGTGTGTGGCACAGTCTCAAGTTATGCTTTGAAGAAATATGGATTTTCCTGTGCAATGAATTTACCAAGTCACAACATGCAGCCCTACTTCCTGCAATTTCAATGAAAGATTACCCATTCCACCTGAAATTATTTGCTTAAACAGGTTACATAATAGGGTGTCCTCACTTCACTGACAGTTAATATGATAAATGCTAATGTAAAAAATGAATGACTAGTCAAGAAGTAAAACTGGTTTGAATTTTTCCATCCCAGCATGTCAATCCATAACCTTGTACTTAAAACTTGATGCAATGACAGAATATGGTATGCAAATTCTGGTCCCTTATTTTTGAACCTATCAAATTAAACCAGAGCCTACAGAAATATTTCTGTCTAGGGCATAAACTGCCCCATGCTAAGTGTATCTTCGCCTTCTGAACTCTGCTCGCAGGTGAAAAGGAAACATGGCAGATTTTCAGTAATCACTGCCAACATGACTCATTCCACATAGCAAATAGATCACTTATTTACTGGCCATTTGCTTAACAATTCTCCAAATGAATAAATACTCCTCATATGAAAAATACCTAAAAACAGCACCTGTATACTTTTATTCCCTGATCATCTCATATCTATGAAATTAATGTCAATGGTCTAATTAATCCCATTTCATATCCAGGACTCAGACATCCCGAAAAATGAAAAATTGCCCTATCCACTTTCATATCTTGCTCAAGCTTCAATCTTATTTGCAATTTCTTTTAAGAGAAATATAAAACCCACCTTCACCATTACTTCACGGTGCACAAACTGCCAACTAAATAAGAGAACTTCCACCACATCTACACATAACTGTAAAGATTCTCCAATGTGTCCTCAAGTCTTACTTCTTTCATATTATTTACAAATAGCATCAAAAATCCATAATATGCATATTTATACAGCCTAACAATGCAGGTAAATGGCTGCTGTCCACAACAAGGTCAGATATCAGCAATCATGAACATGCATGCAAAATACCCTGTAACCTTAAGGTCTTATGATTTCTGCTAGATCACAATCCTTTTGTGGTCTTTTTGGATTGACTGTCATAACATAATGGCATGTAGTGTGATAACCTTAGTAGAAAGGCAGTGAATGCTTTAGTTCCACTCAGATAATTCCCCACCACTTGTTTGCAGAGGCATAAAAACTGATTACTGACTTATTACATGCATGGAACTGCATGGAACTTTGATGTGCTTTCCATATATAATGTGCTTTCCATATATAATTTTTTTTACATAAGACAACTTAACTTAAATGTTTTATTTTCACTAATGAATTTTTTAATATTTTAGGAATGGCACATATTGATACAAGTTGTTCAAACATTATCAATGATAAACCTTTGTTTAGATATACCAATATTTACCAGTATCACACTGTGGGTTTATACAGCTATCAAAAAGCAACCAAATCTAAATGGCTTAAAAAATACAGCTTTGCTTTGATGTGCACTACATCAACAATGTCTCCGCAATGAAGTTTCAGATTTCATTATGCAAGGGCCAAGAAGGAAATGCAATCTAAGAATTTAGCATTAGTCCACTTTTAGGCCCTAAAGGTTAGTATAGTAGAAGCCTAAAAAGTTTCTGAAAGTTTCTGTAACTTTTTTCACAAAGTAGCACCAGTCCACTTTTAGACCCTTACTATCCAAAAGATTAGTACTAGTACGGTAGAAGCCCTTAAAGTTTCTGAAAGTTTCTCTTTTTTTAATAAAATGGTCAGATATACACTGTCTCCTTAAGTTGGAGCAGCCAGACAGTGGAATGAAGTCATGGTTCTAATTAAAACATGAAAATACCCCATCCCCATCTGCCCCTTTACGAAGGCATAAGTGTGCTGTAATAATCTATGTTGCACTTCTGTGAATATTTTCTCTTGACTTTTATGTTAAACTGCAAACACACACACACACACACACACACACACACACACACACACACACACACAATAAAAAATCTCTCAAACCACATTCAGACTCACACATTGAACTCTGCAGGAGATTCTCACTAAATTGCAATCAGTAGAATCGGTTTAGTTGTCTGACATGCCTTCTTGAGCAGCTAGGTGGTGATTAGACATTGTGTGCTGATTAAGGTGATTCCACTTATTGCACTTTTAAAAGCTAGATCCCCTGCTCAGAATTGGACCGTCCAAGCTAGTAAGATTCCCCTGCTCAGAATTGGACCGTCCAAGCTAGTATATTTGAATTTGAATGCACCCTCAGACAACTATAGGGAAATGATTCTAATGAAACTTTCGCCCACAATCTGAAATGGAACTCCCTTTTCCCTTTTCATCTTCACTAGCTGCATATATACCTGGTGCAGTTTCTGAAGACTATATCTTGGCCTATGTCGCTGGCTTTAGTCTTGGCTTAGAACGAAATACACACCTATTGACGGATTCGTGTTAGTCTAGGCTCTTTTCGATAAATTACGTTGTAATTGATGACGCACTTAACATACTTCCATTGTCAAGGAATACCCGATCAAAATTTCCTTGATTCTGAGTATTCTATAAATTTTAGATATGAAAGAGAGTGGACGAGTCACTGACGTCAACTATGACTGCGGTTTTGGACTAGAATGCCAAAACAAACCAGTTTACGGTACCATTTGCATTACCAACAGCGTTTCTGGATGCTCAAATAACATTGCAACACCACTTTTAGAATTTCACTGGATTAATCTTACCTGGCTTATAGCCCCTCCTGATAGTTCTTTAGTTTAACAAAGAACCTTGTAACATGTCCAATTCAATTCTGCTGCTACCTTCTAAGGCTTCCGCCATGTTGAAAGTGACGTCATTGATCAATACGAGGCAGGTGCTTACCGGTTTCAAATGATCATCTACGCTGTAGGATAATAATGACGAAGCAGACGAAGTGATTGTAATAAAGAACTACACATGCGATGTGAATTATACACTAAATTTTTGTTTTACTACAAATACCAGAAAAATGCTGCTCATTACAAGGTCACAATGACACTTTGCCCCCCCCCCCCTTTGACCACGTCGTTTCCCACCTACCCGACATACACCCGTCATCTGCAAGTCAGCCGGTTTAATGTTTTTAAGAAAAGAGAAAATCTTTCAGAGCATGTGAAGAATATTGAAAACATCTTTGTTAAATTATTTGCTTCAATGTATTGTCTAAATGGAAAAGATCAAATATTTCATGTGTAGTATGTTCCAATTTCATTTAAAAAATAATAGCCACTTAAAAATATGACTTAATAATATGAATTTTTACCAGTTTCTTCAAAATCCCGCTCAAAGTTTATTCAAAAAATTTTTGTGCATAAGATTTAAAAAGACTATATACCGTACTTCAGTACAGTACAGTATATGGTACTTCAGGGCAATCAGCAAATTTTTCAAGGATCCTCAACAACCAACCACTATTAGCACTACACCTCCTTGATTAACATGTGGGTTTTGAGGGAATCTTTTTCATTTTGTCAAATGAAATTAAACATTGGGTTTTGGTTTGGTTTAACAATTGATGTTTTATTTCATGCTCAAAGATCACCCACACTGTGGATTTAATTGACATTTCTTTCTCCTGAAAAAATTAAACACCATAACCAACCCTAAATTATAGTTGCTATGCATCTCAAACATCCTCATATTTCTAAATAACAAAAACAAATTTTGTCTACCAAGTTTTTCATCAATTTTGACTGTTCTTATATGGAAATTCCATTAAAAAACATGAAAACATGAACTTACACAGTATTTATCTTATTAAGTTGAGAGTACTTGTACATGTAATTACATATACAAGAATCATAACTTATGTCATACAATTATGTTACAGTCAATCTACTCATGATGAATATTTTTAAATCAATAAAATTGAGTACTTTACATCATATGGTTTCATTATGTAAAATAGGTATCTTCAAAAAACATCATTTCAGTCTCTGTAATGATTGCACCAAGTATAAAAACATATGGTAATTAAGTCACTAGTGTGTTACATCATATTCTTACATATATTAATATATACAGGTCTCATGAATAAACTGTAATTAACAGCACCTTTATAAGATTATAAAGTTCCAAACATATTCAAAGATTTTTAACAAATTCATGAACATCTTTCATTGCTTCTTGCATATCTGCAAATTTTGAATATATTAAAGATTCTTCAAAGTTCAACCATTTGTATGCTTGGTGTTCATGGGACAGTTTGACTGGTGTATTTCCATCTGCAAGTTCTGCCACCCAATAAACTACCCTCTTAGGCTTGCCTCTAACTTCATAATTAAGTATCTTTTGAAAGTCTTGATATATGTGTAACTGTTCTTTTTTTAATCCAGCTTCTTCTTCCGTTTCCCTTAAAGCAGTTTCAAACTCGCTCTCTCCTGGATCCACATGTCCTGAAAAAAAAAAAAAAAAAGAGTGGAAGTGAATATCAAATTCTTTTAAAGCCTCCCAAACCAGGATTTTTCCACCAAAATCTATTTAACCAGTTTTCCTGGGGTAAACGGCATTTTCCTCCAACTAACCAACCTTTAATCTTCCTTTTCTGACACTCTATAATAATTTTGGAAAAAGCAAAAGATATGCCATTCATTCCAGTGAATACTGGTAGATTTCCAGATACCATGCGACTCTGGTGCTATGACCCATGTTATTTTCAAATTGTGTCAAGATGGCCAACTACAGAGGTGGGACAGGGGTGGTGAGTATAGGCTTAATATTATTTATGTGGAATTGATTATGGCCACTTATCTATCAATATATGTTTCAAAGTTTTAATTGTTTTCATGTAAGTTCAACAAGAAGCGATTCATGCCTGTGCCAGTCAATATTTAGCTGATTATATGCACCTCAGGGAGAATCCCTGCTGAGATAGATCGATCCTGCTAGAATGTTAACTTCTATTCTGAACACAGCCTTAGAAAGCTTCTACTATTTGGAACCAAACTCTTTGTAATTTGCATTTATAAGAACAGAAATAATAAGACATCCCAAGCCGGAAGACAGGGGGGTAGGACATCAGAAATGCTCATTCATCCGTATTAGAATTTGATTCAGGTTTTTCAGAAAGAACAACAGAGGCAAAGGAAGGACCCAAAAAGTGGTACAGTGTACCAGTATATATACGGTACATGCATGTACACACAATAATGATGATAATAATAAATAAATAAATAAATAAATAAATAAATAAATAAATAAACGACAGTTCTGGGGCCTAGTTGAGGCAGTCAGTAAAAATTAAATGTGCATTAGTGAGGCACTTATGCAGTATATATATCCCCCAATTTCAAAAGCGTTTGATTTTTGACGTTTTTTCTAAATTCTGCTATCGTCCCTTAGTACTGTAGTACGCTTAGTAGTAGATCTACGACGCTTGGTAGTACGCTTTAGTAAGTATTATTTAGCAAAGAACATGCACACCTTTGGGCGGAGTCCAGTGATGCTCTCCATATGATGTTTGCAATAACAGATACTTAATTTCACATTGAATTCGTCGAAAAATAATGAACCCGGCTGCCACAACCTGTCGAGACATCGTGTCGATAATCGTGCGTTGTCGTAATGGGCAGATTTAAGTGACGGACATCTTCGAGGTTTCAACTAAAGAAATAAGAACATGTGTTTTTGTTTGTTTGTTTGATGAGTTCGTTTTTCTGTATGAAGTATTGTGATGTATTATTATTCCATCCCTAGTTGTCGAAAACGACCCAGTAGCGATAGCGGGATTTTCAAAATGGCGCCGTTTGTTTACATCGGTTACTGCAGCTTGGAAGATATTGTTTTTAGATGTTCTTGAGAGCATATCTGGTCCTCAGTATGTAACAACAAGAAGGGAAAGAGTTTGAAGGAACAGTAAGTTTACTCATCTAAAATTTTTACCATCACTTGCCGTTGATATAAGTAGCTTGGTTAAGACAATGCAACGCCAACGGCAAACCGAACTTGTCACAATGCCAATTAACCTCACTTGAATTAGGGAACTTTGTTTGCGTTAAAACGCCAGCATTGGAAAACAAAATGCAGTTTCAGCGAGTCATTTTAGACAGATTGTCCCAAAAAAATATTACAATAAAAGATATTACAATAATATAAGCGTTTTTGTACCTACAGCCTACAGGTTAATATGCAATGTACATGTACATAGACTATGCCTGAACTTCAAGCTTGGGTATATAGACCTACTCGACCGGGGTATGTGCATTTTAATAATTGCACATTAAGTAACAAAACATATCTTGCCATATGTTCAGTTAAAACATTAATACACTTATTTTTAGGAAGGGAGTACTCTGGGTTCCTCCCACCAGTCCAACATGGCAGCAGTGGGGTGCCTCTACGAGTGCCTAAGGGAGGCGAAGCTGGACCAGTATTACCCACATTTCAAGAACATGCAGGTCACAAGTCTGGAATCCCTGGTCAGCTTGTCTATGCAAGACTATGACAGATGTGGTGTGACATCTGCTCAAGATAAGCACAGGCTGTTTGAACTGATCCAGATAGTGAAGGATGTCCAACAACACAGTGGGAAACACTGCAGTAAAGGGTGTGGTAGACATGGAGAAAAATCTTCACCTCAAATGTCCAGTCAACAAGGTGCTGATACAGTCATGGATTCTAATTTAACAACACCCGAAAAGAAGAGCGAAGGTTACACTTTAATCTTTAATAGTGTCAAGAAAAGATTGGCCATGAAGGATAAGAATATGCAGACTTCCCGTATACTTACAGGATTTACAGTCGTTGACATTCCTAGTAGCCAGTACTTACAGAAGAAAATTCAGTCCATGAGCCCACCACGACACACCTTACAGATCCCAACATTTGGAGATCTCATTCCTCAGGCATGGGAAGAATCTCAGGAAGCTAAACAAAAAAATACCCAGTCTGTTAATACAGTGATCTCAGTAGATGCAAACAGTCCTCATCACTACTCATATAGCTCACATCCTATCGCTGAAAGTGCCAAACATATGACTGGAGGTGCTTCCGAGTCTGTTAGCCACCGCCTGGTGACAACCTCCACCCCTCAGGGTATCTCAAGACTAGAAGAAAGCTACTTACAATATTTGACACCGAGTGGACACCCCGGTTCCTTGGGACCAAATTTTGGACCACCTAAAGCTAGGGAATCATTTGTTGAAAAAATCCATCATGGAAATGGATATAATTATGGATTGCCAAGGAGAAATCCGCATAGAAGATCTGTGAGTTCTAATAAGTTCAGTCAGGAGGAGAGGATAAAAGTTTGTGTACGTAAGCGTCCTTTGAATAGGAAAGAGAAGAGAATGGGAGAAAAGAAAATTGTGGACACCAAGGATGAAACAACGGTGTTTGTCAGCGAATCCAAAGTGGCCATTGATTTAACTGACTTTATGCATCAAGTAAGATTTTTATAAAGATTTTTATTTTTATTTATTGATCTAATCTTTCATTTTTCAAAATTTGAGCAATTTTCTCTGTTTGTTTTAAAATGTATTTACTTATGTCAGGTCTATTTGAAAGGCCTACCAACTGAACAAAAACTGTGGCATTTACAGTGTGTGAATATCTATATTTCTTTGATTTCATGCAAAGGCATATAATGTAGGTGTTCTTTATACAATGTATGTATTTGAATATTTTTACATTTTTTTCTTTAATTTTCAGCATGAATTTGTTTTTGATGAGGTGTTTGATGAAGACTGTAGTAACCAAGAGGTATATGAAAGGACAGCAGGACCATTAGTAGACTGTGTCTTTCAAGGGTATGTTTCGTGAACCTTGAACCAGAAATTAAAGAAATACATACAATATGTAAGACTTGGTTAGAATGTATTTTGTAAATGATTATATTGCATTTTGTTATTATGTTCACTCTAAGCCTCACAAAATAAGCAATAAACATATCAAGAAAAAATACAGAAAGACACATATCCCAGAATCAAAAATTTTGCTTATAACTTTCAAACTCCTTACAATTAATGGTGAAGAGCTTTTGACAAAATATTTACTAGTACATAGCAAATTAAGTTGAGTTGGTAATTTTATCTATTGCAGAGGGTCAGCAGTGTGTTTTGCATATGGGCAGACAGGAGCAGGAAAGACATACACCATGATGGGGAAGAAGAACGTCCCAGGCCTGTATGTGATGGCTGCAGATCATGTCTTCCAAAGAGTTCAGGAAATTGAAGAAGAAGAGGGAAGGGACCTTAGGGTGTGGGTCAGCTACGTAGAGATCTACCTCAATCAACTGTTTGACCTACTGGACAAAAGGAAAAGGTGCTTGTAGACAGCATTTAGTTGTAGAAAAAACATGAAATTATTATCAATGGCTATTGCTAATTGATGGAAAGTAGATCAGTAAAATTAAGTTTTGGATTTTTAAAATATAGATTCTGGAGTTTTAAAGAAATATGGAGAATAAAAGGAGTTGGGTTTTATCGTATCTGTAGACAAGGATTGTGTCATTTATCCTTTTTATTCTGAACTTGCCAAACTTTGTACAGTTATGTTACAGTGTTAAGTGCAATTCTTAACTATCTTCTATATATTGCAGTTCAAAGATATATCTGTGCATTAATGCTACATGAACTTCTACACACTATACTTTTAAAAGAATATTGTGGTGTAATAATCATGTAATAATCATGGGTGGATTGAGGCCGTCTTCTGGGTCTTCCAGAAGATGATCAGATTTTTTCAAGTTTACATTTACGGGGATCTAATTTTTCCTGGTGGAAGATAATTTGGATGACTGTTGGAAAATATCTCTAGATCTGCCCCTGAAAATTACAGACTATGTTTCCTTTTCAGAGTTCATGTTCGTGAGGATGGTCGCCACAATGTCCTCATTCGAGGTCTGTGTAAAACTGTGGTCAGAGATGTTCAGACATTGATGGCAGTAAGTGTTCCTCTTCATTGTCATATTGCTTACATGCATAGTTGGTTAGTAATGTAGGGTTGCAAACCAGCTGCTACTTACCAATTTTAATGTGGCATGAATGTAGAAATTTGTTATCACTTGATTTGCATGTTTTGTTTTTCTTTTGGGATTGACTCTACTCTGGTGGAAGAGGATATTTTGTAAGTTAAAAAGTGACATAAATCTGTTACACACAGTATGTTATCCAACCACAGTTTTTAGATCTAAAAATATTCTCCGGTTTAGCCAGTCTGAAGTGAAGTGGTAAAGAAATGCCAAGCAAGGTCCATAATTTAAATTTTGATTTGATCTGATTGATCATGGCAGCTTTTCCAGAGTAATCATAGCAGAATGTTTTCTTGGCTATTCTCTGAGGTAGGATGACCTATACAATGAAGATACACATGAATGCACACAGTGATCTATTTCCTCCAAGTAGAGAGGAAGTGCATCAACTGCAATAAGGAAAGATATATTGCTTCACGCATAGGAAATTTTCTCCAGAGAAATATTGAAATTTATGAACTGTTTCACCAGTTAAATGTAATTGATTGGAAATGTGTAGTTAAGATAAAGCAAAATTTTGCTAAAGTAGCTCTAGCATCTTGTGATATTTTGGAAAAGCCTTTCACTTGTGGTCATATGGGCAGTTTCATCTTGGCTGCGTTTTCTTTGGAGTTGTTAACTCTATGCATAATGTGTAATCTTAGCATGATTTAGAATAGGTAACCTTTGTTTTCTTGTGTTATTCTATTGAGTACTTGTTGCCAGCTGTTGCCAACCCCGTTTCTTTATCAACCCTCTTTATCTATAGTTATTTATTCCTTCCCAATCCAGCATACATAGGGCAACGTCAGAGGTTTTATTCATGATTGATTTAAGGAGAAGTTACAATAAGGAATTATGATTTTGAAATAAAATGGAAAGAACAATGTTTTATGCAAAAAATACATTTTTTGTCATTAACAAATTATAGATATTCAAGGGCAAAAATGAATAAAAAAAAGGATTAATAAAAGATTTTAGATTTTTCTTCATAGCTGTTGAAAATAATGAATAATCCAGTTTTTACACAGAAAAATGAACATTCCTGTTACAGCAAAGGAAAACAGGATGAATTGGGATGGGACAAAAATGAAACAAGAATGTTAAACTCTCATCTGTTGTCTGTCGTGAATCACACTGCTAAATAATTAATTCTAAATCCATTTTTATAGCTTGTGTCAGGACACAGGTAGCCAATATTCCTGTATTGGGTTTTTATTGAAAGTTTCTGCTTTACATGCACTGCAACTTATCAGGTTGTATTTCCTGTCAGTGCTTTGTGTTTGTAGCGCTGATACATCATGATGGACTGTATAAGCTTTCTCATTTCACGGCTGAAGAGATTTACAAAGATAAATGAAAAAGAGAGCAATGCAAAAATAGCCCAATGGAATGTATTGTGAACATTTTTTTTTCATTAAAGAGAGAGAGAGAGAGAGTATATGCTCCAGAACTGATTGTTTCCAGTTTTCTCTTGGAAATTTCATTTGTTTTTATTTAGGTTCAGTGGTTACCCTATTATGCCTGGTACCCTTACATTAGCATATGTGATGATAGTGGCAGAAGGATGTCTATATTTTTCATAACTGTATATATACTTTTTTTTTCAAATTGTAGTTCCTTTTAAGTCTTCTTGATCTAGAATTTTTTTGTTTTAGGGGAATGCAGCAAAATTACTTTATCTATTAATAAATGTTTAGAATATCTGCTACATGTAATGACTGTTGCCTTAAGGTTGGAACCAAATTATTGCTTTTTGAAAATGACAGTGTCACAGGGATATATCTAGACCTTTTTTTTATGCAGGGTATGTAGTGAAGCTTATAAATAAGTAGGTGGTCTTTATGGATAGTGGACATGATTCATAGTGGGCTCATAAGCTGGCTGGTCAACTTCATTACAGCATTCCTTTGACATACCCTGATTAAGCTAGAGAATGACAATAAAACTTGATTAAGTCGGAACATGAGATGTTCATTTGGATTTGCTGTTGGATTATATAACATTATCTATTTACATAGGTTCTAATTGGGCATTATCGGAGGGTTGTGTAAAGAGGACTATGGTACTTGGTATTTGATTTATACTACTCATTGTGTTTGAAATGAGGCTGTCAGACTGGTAAAATTGTAGACATGGCACATATCAGTTCACCTGGAAAATGTCCATTTTGAGGACCCATGGGGTAAGGAAATAATGTGATTTAACAGGTTAAAAGGAAAATCCATCTCTGTTCTTGGATAGAATATACACAATTGTATTTGCATATACAGGCCTTTTAAATGGATAAGCCATTTACAAACTCAAGCCCCAGATATGTGAGCAGCAATGTTAAATTAACAGGCAAGATCACTGTGCTACAAAACACGAACAGTAAATCCACTTACATACCTGTTTGGTATGTTTATATGTGCCAGAGATTGTTGGGAGTGCTTTGCTCCCATATAAATAAGTGGTATGGATAGTAGATTATAGGAATACTTCAGTTTAATTTTTGATTTATTCTCTGTGCATTTATTCTCCATTTATTTTTTTGATGAGAAAGTAAATCCATGGAAACAGATACATGTATTTGTGAGTTATTGAATCACAGAAAGTTGCAATGCACTGTTTGTCATATTTTCTGCCCTTCAAAATCATGGTCCTGGTTTGAAGAAAGGAAGCTGTATGTGTACAGCCAGACACCCAAATCTACCATGCCTTCTTTACGCCGTGCTCGTGGCTTATTTTATGTTCATGCTCTAAAATTGTAGCTTTTACTGAGTCTTTTACTTTGGCATTCAGACTCCCAAATCTAAGGCTTGTAATAGCAAACGGCAATTAACATTTTTGAGGCCCAATTAATATACAAAAATTGTCAGAAATCATGGTCAAGAGATTGCCAAAATTTATTTGGACTCATTGGCTTTTATACTGTTCAGTCTTATTGTGGTGACATCACCAACATCTTGATATGCAAAGGACATACAGATTACTTCATGTCAATATTTGAAGAACAAAAAAAAATGCAAGTGGTCCATGAATCCATGAAAATACTTGTGATCTGTGCATATGTACTAGTATGAGTACGTATATTACTGTTAGACAGGAGATAGTTCTTGAGGACTGAGTATTGATTGTGCTTAGAGTATCTGTGTAGCCTTTTATTACAGGTTATCTCCCTTTTATCTTTCCACATGGCAAAGTCAGTAGCCTAATAATTTTGATTTAGGCTACCGCTAAACTGATTGCTAGATTGTAGAGCTTGCTCTTCCCCACCACAGCTCTAATAGTAATGCAGCACACTGGAGGGGTTGGCTGGCTGCTAATATAGCCCACATTAAGCAGCTTGGTTGCCTTGATTCAATAGTCCCTTATGATGACAGCATTGAGTCATCAAGTGTGCTTGAGGCAGTCTAGTTAGATCCACCAGCAAGGTAGGACGGACAGAGAAGAAAGGATTTATAAATATCTCAGTTTTTGGCAGCTGTAAAAGGTATTTTGCAAAGATGTAGTAAAATGTTCTGTGCATACAACATCACAGTAATACATTGTGCTTTCTGAAGAGCATAGGTTATTTTATGATATTTGGAAAGAGATATAGTTTTCCCTTTTTGAAGCTGTTGAAATACCTTCATTTTTCTATATTGAAGAAAAAATCACACTTTATTAATTTACCTAATTTTATAAGAATTGTTAAGTAAATGATAGTCCACACACATGCATGGTCATATGAGCAGAGACTTTTAATATTAGCTCCAGTGAATAAGTATTTCAGACTTCACATGTTTCAATTATGAGCCTCGTGTACCTGACAAGTTTCCACAAGTAGCACACCTTGACCATAGGGCATGCTATCTGAAGGGAGATGTGCCATTATGACAGAACAAATCCCAACCAAACAGGTGTTAATATACTGCATGTGCCCTTAAGTCACACAAAGAAGATAGCATGTGTGCATTCATAACAGGTCCAACTTAAACCAGGAAATGGTCTAAAGGACCGTTCACATGAAAAATCTATTTTCTAAAAATCTAAAAATCTATTTGCGGTATCTTGTGATCACGGTCTGTGCCCTGAATACCCCACGGCGTAATTACGGGCAGTGCGAGCCAGTTACTTCCAAAGCTGTAATTAATTCTCGGTGCTGCTAGTAAAGGCTTAAATTGTGTATGGCTGCCCATCATATCCTAGCTAGGCTCACTCTTGGATACATTTTGTGCAAGAAATATAGCTGAATCAAATTTTTACTCATGTAAATATTTTAAGAACAAATATTATTTCAAAACTTTGAACCAGGTTTATGAGAAAGTTGGCTATAAATATTTTAATAATTTGATATTGAGCAAAATAGAAGACATTTGCATTTGGCTAGAATCTACAATGGTAGATTTATACCAGCTTAGAAGAATACTAGTAAATCTTAAATTACGTGAATTTTTTTTTAAATTTAAAATTACTTGGTGTCATCATTTAGACTATTTCTGATTTAAACTAGATCCTAATTATAAGTGGTCCCTCTAAGAGCAAAAGCCTGAGTTTGCCTCTAAAGGTCTGCCGGAAAGTGTGCGTCAGGTTAGGCTACATCATGCTGGTATGATGCACCCTCTGGATGAAACTGACCCTGGGTTGGTTCCAGAATGAAACTAGAGTCAGTCACTCGTTATTCATATTGGGTCTCAGTTAAGCCTAACATTATTTCTATTTTCTTTTCCATATGTTGTTTTCTGCTCCTAGTGACAGGTTTGTGATGTTATCATTAGAGTCTCTGCTATGTACTTGGATAGTTGTCATTGGTCTGAGCTAGAGTTTCTATGGTCTATCATTCTGATGGCTAGTTGATGTCCCATTTCCCAGCAGTTGCCAATGCAGTACTCACATGCATACAATTGTAACACTGATGGAACTGTAGTACACATTTGCAGGTAAATTTAGGTTTTTATCCTAAAGGGATC